AACTCTTCAACGGAGAATACGTCATTCTCCGCCCTTGCAGACTTTTCCCCTGACTGAGTGAGCAGTCTGAGACCTGCAGGTCGCGAGTTGGAGAGAAGTCATCCTCTGAACTGGAAACTTCACCAGAATGTTACCTGCAGGTTTCCTGCAAAGAAGGTAAAGGTTAGTCTAGAGAAAAGATCATTTGTAGGCTGTTTCAATTTCTGTCAGTAGGACAGTGGTGGAGGCTGGGAAGGTTGAACTTCAAACCGTTCTGTAGCATGACGGTGGCTCACTGCTGCTGTCCTTTGCTTTACTGACAGAGGCTCTTCTGCAAAATGAAACAGCCATACGTTTTCCTTTTTAGTTCCTGTATGCAAAGCTATGTGTTACGAATGCTCAGTTTCACGTGTGGGCGTGCATATTTTTGTGTTCATAGAGGGAGTACAAAAGAAATAGAGATGTTGTGATCACAAGTGAAATTAAAACATTTTCTCCTTAAGTTAAAGAGTAACGGTAGTTGTATTTCAGTTGTGCAAATTCAGACTATTTGTCTATAGTCACAAAGAATTAAGAGCCCTAAATTCAAGTTTTCTATTAAAAGTATCCAAACATATTAAGGAGATAGAATTAGATTTTTTGACTGATTGTGTTTTCTGAAGTCTTTAATAACTTCGTGGAGGGGGGAAGAGATCAAGAAGAAAATGAGAATGATTTACAGGTTTGTGTGTAAGTGGGAGAGGGTGGAAGGGGAGAGAAAGAAAAAGAAAGCCACTTCCTGCTGCTAAAATGGCATTTTATCTAAATGCCACTGACAGGCTGTATTTGGGGATTTCCATGCTGCATTAATTCATTCATTGGGTCTTGCAGTAGTTTATTTCTTGCTCTCCTAGAAGACATTTTTTTTACCTGTTCTTGCTGAGGCCACCCACCTGATCAGAATCCTTAGGAAGGCTTTAGCAAGTAGCAAGAAAGACTGCTCAGGGCAAGCTTTTTCTCTTGTTCATGGTCAGTTCTGGCCAGTGGAAGATGGGAGCATTGAATCAACTTGTGAGGGGAGCCTAGATTTAAGGGGCAGATTGAGAGGAGGGATTACAGCCTCTTAGTGGAGCTGAAAAATAAGAACCTGCTCAGGAGGTTCTTGGTGGGGAAGTAATTTCAGTGGGAAGCAGAGGTCTGTATTGTATGCTAACACCACTTAGTTTCCTTCACCCTCCGGGACATGGTAAGGGGGATATGGAAGGTCATGGAGGGAGTGGAGGGTGGTGAATCTCCATCGCCAACCCACAGATCTGCGGCTGGCATTGAAACAACTTATATGTGGTCACTCGCCAAGACTGGACTGTTTGTAACTCGGGGGAGAACAAATGAGCCATAACAAATCTTACGGCTGTGTCTATATTAGCATTTTAGTTCACATTAGGAACTCATTTCTGAAGTGAATCTTGCAGTCATCCCCAGTTACTGTGTTTTAGTTCATGTCTTGGAACACATGAACAGGATGCCTTTCGGCTGAAACTGAGTGGAACGGTGCACTCCGGTAACACACTCAGCACGCTCTACCCATGAATGCATGTTCAGTCCACAAGGCCAAGCTAGTGCTAGGCTGAAGTAAAACCCCTGAGAGCATGTTGTGTGGGTATCAGTTTTTTGGTGCTAGCTGTTCATCTACAGATCCAGTCCTGTTGGGATAGCCTACTTGCTAATGTAGACATAGCCTGTGTTGCTGTCCCCACAAGTTTGTCTGGAAAAAAGAATGTGACCCAAGGTGCCACGCTCATGGCCATGACTTTTCCTATTTTTGAGAACTGATTCAGATTGAGGACATTCAGCACATCATTAAATGGGACAGAAGAGCTAAGTGCTCATGAGACTGTAGAAAATAGCTCTTAATCAGTGTCATGTTAGAAGGATGTTGCTGGGAGCTACTGTCCTTGAGCTAATACGTAGTTCTTGGGCTGCCTCTGCAGCCGTGAGTGATGGGGGCGAGGGGGGGGAGGAGGGCGTGATCCAGACCTTCACCTGAGACCCTGAAGCAGGACAAGTGGAGTTCCTTGCGCCTTCCTTTGCAACAGCTGTGGGAGAGCGGATGCTGGACTTGCTGGAAGATTGATCTTGTGCCAGCATGGCAAATCGTGTGTTTCACTGCCATAGTTCTCAATGATTTGAGGTAAAAAAGAAAAAGAACTCTAGTAGGTGTATTAAAGGTGATACGCTTGCATGGGAGGCAACACAGTCATAACTGAGGATAGTCTGGTATTTCATTCTTTCCATGATTTTGTCTGCAGTGAAACAGTTAATGAGATGTTGGAAACTTAGTGTCAAACTGTGGATACAAAATGCATCCTCTTTCAAGCTATATTCATTTTCACTTTTTTGGTCACTCGGTATATTGCTGCAGTGTTCTCAGCCTGAGGACAAGAAACCTTTTCCTAAGAAGTTATCTGAAGAATCTAGTTGCCTGAAGGTGCCCTTTTGACGTTTCAAAACACTGTACAGCAGCCAGAGTCTAATCTGGCTTGGTAATGTGAAAGCAAAGGTGCTTAAGAAGTCCAGAGTTGTAAAACTAACTGCAGTTCAGCCAGTGCCCCACAACTGCTTCTTTACTCCCTCTTGGAGCAGATAGTAAACATTTAGCAGGATTGCATCATCATATATTTTTTCGGAGCATTAAATAAGCTATGAGACTCTCTCTGTTATTTTCTTCCTAGAGGTGTACCAGTAACGTTTAGCCTTCCACTGCTGTTCCGTTTCCTACTTTGGCATGCCTCTGTACCAGACCAAATGCCTTAAGCTCAGAATGATATGGCCATAGAAGAGTGGAGTCTCAGAGTGGATTTTAGTTTTGGTGATAGTGGGAGCGGCCTCTTTCTCCCTCCTCTTGATGCGTGAATTGGGAAAACTCTTTTTTCCCACAGTTTTGTAATGATTGTCAGGAAATAAGTGTGAGGGTGGAAGAAGATTTGATCTCAGCTGACATATGCTTGTTTCCAAGGCTAAGTTGGTAGGAGGTTTTTTTATCAAGAAGGGAACAGACCAAACACTTTTGTCAAAACAGTAGTGAAGAAAAGGGAAATACTAGACTCTACTTGTAAAGGGATCGTTTGAGGGCCCAGAGATAATAACCATTTTTGCTTGAGGTCTTTCAGGCAACCGGAGTGAGACCAAATGTCTGAAAGTTGCAAGCACACAGGATGTGGGGCCATGCAGCTGAGCGAGTGGTGTTTACATCCCACAGCCAGTAGCCAGTACTGAAGGTAGCTGGCTGGAAATGGAATCTGATGAAGATAACTTCTGTGGAGCCCTATGCATTTCCACTAATAGAACGGCAAATAAATGTTCACATAACAGAATAGAGGCTTGATAACAAGCTTTTCTCCATGATGGAGATGACAAATTATTGGTATTGGGGTCAACGGCAGCTTTTAACACTTCTGCCGAAGCCACAGTTAAAAACTGTGCTTGCACCAAAACTGCATGAGGTGCAAAGCTGCACGTCAGCATCCACTGTCTGCACTATTAGTAAGGCCAAAGCCGAAGGCTATGTGTAAGTGCAGCGCAGTATATTCAAGACTGGGTTTGCCAGGACAGGATGGCTGAATTACATCAGCCTTTGAGACTACTGACTCCAGGAATTATACTTGTTTAGGTGCTGTCTAAGGAAACTGTCTGGTGTGTTTGTAGTACCTTCAGTTTGGAAGGAGTCGTACCTCCCTTGATTTCTGTCAAAAACATGATTATAAAGTTATAACAGACATGCCTTATTTCTTCATTTGAATTGTAGGCCATATTCTGCTTGCCTACTTGAGGCGTAACTTAAGTATTGTGAAAAAAGCATTTCAGTTCAAGAGAATGATCAGAGCACGTATCATTTGGGTCTATCAAACAGACTGTGGTGAAGGGAGGGAAGTCATCGCTACCTGAGTGTGACAGCTGTGGGAAGGATTTGTTTTGCCCAGCTCTGGCATCTGGCCTCAGCTAGTCATCTAAATTCTTTCTCTAGTGCAGGGAGAGGGAGGATATCTTCGTGGGCTGATGCATCCTACCGACCCTAGAAAAGGGTGATTCATTCTCTGGAGGTGCTTGTGTCTCGCCATTGACTGTATAGAGAAGCTGGGCAACTAGCTGAGACCAGATACTCCTACACAGTTTAAGTTAGGTGGGAGGAACCTCCTTTCTCTAATTAATAAGAACTCCTTACCCAAGACTCAAACAGTTTTGGATAATTGATAGGGCAGACGATGAAATAAAAAAGTTTAGATTGGACTTCCCCATCTCTTTTGTTGTAGCATGCCATACAGAGGATGTCTTAAAAGCGCTTGAATCAGATGGTGCCGCTAGCAAATGCAAACTTGCAGTTATCCTGTAGTATATTGATAAATAATTTACTTTTCTTCCATTGTGCTTGCTGGTAGCTGCTAGCAGAAGCCTACCTGGCCTAGTAATTTCATGCAGTGGAGAAACAGCTCTAGATCCTGATCTTCTGGACTTAGGTGTTTTGATTACTCTGCATGCTCTTTTCTCCTGACAGCAGCAGCTATAACTCTTTCAAACAACCAAACTGTGAAATTGTAGCTTTAATTGCAAGCTTAGCTCTAGGAAGGCACGTGTAGTAACGAATGCTATCTAACTCTCAACATATCGTATACGTTCCCTTAGTAGCATGCGGCCTTTCTCTAAACGTTTTAGCATATGTTTCTTACTGCCATTCCACCCACTCACCAAAGGCTGACCTGAAACCAGTCCTCTTCAGCATAAGCTTATTTCTTTGTGTTCCTCCTCTGAGTGGCTATTGCGAGGACTGGTGCTGGGCTGGGTCCACCTGGGTATCTTACTCTCCTCTGCTTGCCAGTGTTGTTGCTCTTAGTTTTCTGTGCACTTTTAATATGAGAGCTAGTAATCGCAAGTGAAATTTGCAGCTGATCTGAGAATATGGTATCTTTAGAAGAGACTTCCTGAATATGCCACTTAAGCTGTATAAAAGATCAATTATTCATACTGATTATTTTGTTCATTTTTAGATGTGGACTTAACTGATATTATGAAATGCAAAATCTCTTCACACAAGAGGAGAGGAGCTGTCTGTAAGTACGATCAGCGTAGGATACTGCAAGGAAATTGAAAATATCTCATTAAGTGAGAATAATAATATTGCAATTTAAATGAATAGTTGAGGATACAAGAAGTCTTTGAAAATTATTATACCCAGTAACATTTAAATAGGAATAGTTTCAAAACCGAATGTCTATCTCCATTTTAGTTTCTCTAGGATTGACCCTTTTTAAGGGTGTCAGCAACTCCAGAAATTTTGGCTGGAAAACAAGCAGACTCTTTCACCTAACTGCTTTCTGGCCTGTAGCTATGAGAACATGTTAGTCGTTCTCTATTAGGTTGTTTGTACAGTCAGAGAGGGGGGCATTCTGCCTAAATCTCTACAAGCACATTTTGTTACAGTTCTGTTGCATGAGAGCACTCCAGCATAATGGACTTAGAAGTCATTAAGCATCACGTTACATAACGAAGCAACCAAGTAAAACCTATTGCTCAAAGAAAGAAAAAAATTCAGGAGAATGGAAGGACTTGGAAACTGGCAAAGAGTTTCGATGGAAGTTTTATTTAACCAAATCTTAAGAGATTCAGTACTGTTCCAGAAAGACTGTGGCTCACTGACCACTTAACTACTTAAACAGAAAAAGCTCTTTTACTGTGAGAGCTGGCAAACACGGGAACAACCAGTTCCAGGAGAGGTTGTGGAGTCTCCATCCTTAGAGTTATTCAAAGCCCGACTAGACATGGCGCTGAGCAACCTGCTTTGGCTGACTCTGCTTGGAGCAAGGGGGTTGGACTAGAAGATCTGCAGAGGTGCCTTCCAGTCTCAACTAGAAGTCTGTGCTTCTATATGAATTGGAAAACTGCCTGCTTTAGTTTTTGGCTGGTCGTGATATATTACATCTGTAAGGAGAGTATCATGGTGCATACTGTCACTGGATCTCAGAACTTTTGGGAACGGGGATGTTCGGGGCTCTCAATTTCTGCTTCTTCCATTCAAGAAGCAGAAACTGCTTAGAATTAGCTAATGGCATTCCACTAGTGATTTATTATTGTAAAAACTTGAGTTACAGAGGGAAGTTATTTTTTCTCAATGGCCCACACCTTCTTCCCTAGCATGAGCTCCATGTTTAAAATTGCACTCCTAAGCTCATGTAGATGGCCAGGGTTGTGTTCAATTCATTCATTTATCTTTGAAGTTTAACTTGCCTCTAAATTTTAGATTTCCAGTGAAGCAGTCCTGTTTTAAAAGGTGCTTGAGTTCCCTGTAGAGTCATGGGAAAGAGGTAGTTTCTTTTGAAATCCTCCAGAGGTGGATACTAACCAGTTAAATTTAGATACTTGAGCGAGGTAGATCAGGTGCTCCTCTGGAGGCCCTCAGATGTAGCTAAAATTTCTGCCTAAAATGTAAGTAAAAGGTGCTTAATTTAAGCAGAATGCATCTCTCTCGTTGTTAGATGTCTAAGAAAAAAGAGAGATGTTCTCATTATGTGAAGTGGTTGAGATGTTTTGTAATTTAAATGAGGGGCTGCTGTGGAGGCGTTGGTCACTGCAGTGCTACTTCTCAATTTTTGTATTTTGCTCCTGTCACTTCCTAAATGAATGGTATTTGTCATAACTCTATGAAATGAGTACCGAAGTTTTATAACAGCAATGTTAATATGGCAGATGGGTTCAAATTTATCAGCCAAATCAAGTGCACCACATTTAACCAAATTTAACAGCAGAATCACGTGTTCTATAGGCTGCAGGTTTCTTTCCTTTCACAACATGTGACGTTATAGGTACCTCGAGGGGAAGAAAATCCTTCATGCGCGTGCATACAGCAGTAACGCGTAGGGCGAAGGAGAAGCGCAAATGCTGCTCTGTGCACCACATCAGCAGTCATCCCCTATCTTTTTTTCTTTACGTAGCTATCCCAGAATTTCAGCCTCACTCTGGCCCAGCAGATTTTATTTATAGTTTTCATATCCCTTTCTCATGGCAGCAGCGTCTAGAAAGACAGTTTGCTGACGCTAACCACATTTCCTGCCCTTTTGTTCTACGTTCTGCCTCCCCATTGTCCCTTTGTCCTTATCTCTTGTCCTACCTCTGCAAACAGAGGCTCCATCTGACAAATTTACTTGTGCTCCCCAGGGATTTTGAAAACCAGAAAACTTCATTAAGGATGATTTAATAACTTGGACAAAGGGGGAAGAAAGCAGCTGCTCTGTTAACGAATCGCTCTCAGGCCCCATTTGCTGACAGAAAAGCCTTTCTTGCGTGTAGTACAGTCTTCAACAATTTGCAGTAAAACGCTACAGATGCACTGTTCATGCCAATTGAGTTACCATGCGTCAGATCTGCCTTGAGCGTTTTGTTTGAATGGCCTGTGGCAATCTTATGGCTGTAGGTTTGCTGCAGGTAAAAACAGCAGTGGCAGATAGTGGCCTAAAACTCTGTTGTGTATTTTTGCTCTCCTTATTGCCTACTGTGATAATGGTAGAGGAATAGCAACTGGAGACAACCTGCTGCACTCTGATCCTCTGCAAGAGAAACATCACTAAAGCCAAGCAGCGAGAAAGGAGGGGTTCTTCATGACAAAATGACAGCAAGAGAACACAGTCCTCGCCATGGTGCAAAGTCCCGTACTGTGCAACGGGCCTCCACCATTGACATCACCTCTGACATGCTAGGTCTTTCTTTAACAGGTATGTACCTTCATGTCAGCTATTGCTCAGCTGCTCCCTTCAGCATCTCCTTTATACTTCCCGTATTTTTTTCTTTCCATCGCCACAAGGTTTAGATGTATCTGGTCATCTGGAGGGAATGGGATAAAGGAATTACCCTGAAATTATAAACGAAATTCTTCATATTGCCAATTTTTTAAGTAGACAAAACACTAAAATTGGGGAGGGAAGAAAAAAAAGAAATTAAACTAGATTTAGAGCATTTATGTTAATCAGTCAAAAATACACAGCAGGAGGAAAAGCAACAAAAGAATGTCAAGGTTATTAAGGAAGAATCTTGGCAACCTCCTCATATGATATTGGGTAAAATTTTCAAGAGAGTTTGGGAAGCTGAGATTACTTTCTCTCATCTTCGGTGGTAAGTAAATTAGGATTATAACTACTGGAGGCTTTCTCTAATTAGTGAGCAAGACGGGTGCTTTCAAACTTCTCCCTATTCACTGAGCCCAGAGGAAACATATTTGATTTAATAATCTGGAGCTAATAGTGGCTCAGATGCTAGACGGCTTTAATCCTGTTGTCTTCTGCTGAAATTTGGTATTCCATATTCCTATAGTCCATATAATTTTGTGTAGTTTTGGGTATTTTAGTGATTGTCTTAAGATATTTTATAAAATGAGATCACATCAGATTTTTCATGTCTTTTTTTAGATTCTGAAGATTAGCTAATAAATATTTTAAATATTATTCATGGTTCATTGAATTAAAATATTAATATTTTCTGTAAAATTTAATTTCTTCCCTTGTATGACTGTAACAGCAGGGGAAGATTTGGATGATAGCAGTGGTTGGCTAATCTTGTGTTAATTTTCTGATTTACAGGAAACATTCAGGATCCAGACGAGCCGATTTTAGAGTTCAGTTTAGGTAGGTTTCGGGGGGGTTGTAATTATTTAGAATTATGCTAATTTTGATGATATGTGCCATGAAGTATATGTGTCTAGTTTTTATGGTTGATACTGAAATGCCTTGCATATAGTAAGGATTGAAACTTTGCTTTCAATTTATGGAGATATGGTACAGCAGCTTTCTTACTGCATATAAAAGTATATTTTAATGCAGTATCTTTTAATGAGTAGCAGTTTGATTTTGTGATTCTTATAAAAGTCTGCATATAAAATATTTGTCCTATAAAATTTAAAATGTTTATTACATGCGTGTTACGTTTAAATGCTTCTTATGTTTACATGAAGGCACAAGGAAACTGTGTCTTCAAGCTCAGTGTTCAGATCTTCAAGCAAAGTGAAGATTTACTGGAAACACCATTCTAGGACAGAATACTTTCTAAGAGTTACCTTCTTTTATTTGGTCTTTGCTGTCAAGTGATTAATGTGAGATGTAGAAACGTCCAAATTTCTGAAATAGTTAAATATGGACAAGACATTTGTGCGTTGAATCACCTCACTTGAAGAATAAGTGAAAAACATTTTCCGATGAAAATTCAGTCCACATTTTCAACTGCAGCACAGTTTTCTTGGCTAAATAGTGGGCTAATATTTGGAAATTTATGCTCTGATAGTATGTTTGAAATGAAAATTAGAAATTTGTCTCAGATGTGCATAATTGTGTTATGAGTGATAATATTAACTAGAATTCCTCAGAGCTGAATAGATTATTTTAAATACCTTCCGATAAACTAAAAGCACAAAGAATTGCAGAGCTGTTTAGTGTACATTTACACATTTTATTTACCCCGTTTAGTTTCAGAATTCACCTTGCACATCTAGCTAAAGCAAACTTGGAGAACAGTAGCTGTAGTTACCTGTCTCTAACTGGATACAATTTAGCCCTGAAATGCAATGTAATTATGTAAAATCACTCACTGGAATTTTTGATAGTTATTTCCTACTCACTGAATTCCCTTCCCAGCACTTAAAGTCATAGTAACATTTTAGAGGAAATAAATTAGTGCCCTTTCGCTATTACAAGCTAGTTCTCCTCGGAGCAGCGCTGCTGGATCAACATTCAAGCGATTCTGTTGGTTCTCCATGGCAAAATACCATTTGGTAATGGGCTTAATGGAGTGTGACTTCAGATCAAATGCAGCCGTGCTCATGGGATTCCCAGTGGAAAAGCTGTGCACGAACACTGTTATAATGAGCTGTGCCTGAGGGATGGATAGGCAGGTGGTGGAAGAGAACAACTTTAAATTACAGCCATACAGCTTGGAGCAAGACTATCTAATTAGATACATTTACTGGTCGCATGCAGAAAGGTGAAGGATTTACACCTTTGTATTGTGGTGGTAGAGTGATTATTAGGCCCTTCGTGGCGTTGTTGCTCAGGGTATGTAATATGCTTTTATAAAAATTGTTGAGTTTTACAGCAGTATCTAAATCTAAATTTGTTTATCTGTTACATACCCAAAGCTTGCAGCGAGCTGCTAACTCCATCACTAGATCGAAAACCAAATAGTTTTGTAGCAGTGAGCGTAACTACACCTCCTCAGGCGTTCTGGACGAAGCATGCACAGACGGAAATTATTGAGGTAAGTGGTCAGATACTGACGGATTAGATTTTAAACTGAAGCAAACACCAGAAGCATTTCTTCCTAACAAGTACTACATTACAATAATTTTTGCCTTTTTTGTTTATGATTATAGGGAACAAGTAATCCTATCTTTCTAAGCAGCATTGCCTTTTTCCAAGACTCTCTTATCAATCAAATGACACAAATCAAACTCTCCGTGTATGACGTGAAAGACAGATCTCAGGGAACAGTAAGTATTTTTCATTGTGTTGCCTCCCCAGGCACTGTGGACTTTTTGCCACAATACTGACTGAGGCCCCAAGTGCTTGCTTTCTCATGACTTCCTCAGAAACAGCAGGGTTGACCCTGCCTGTAGACTGCTTCACGGGGAGGCTCGGGGGAAAAGGAGTGCGACCTGAGGAGGTGCGTTCTCACAAGGAGCCAAGTATGGGTCAGGGAGTGCAAATGAAGCATTCACCTAGGCAGTCTGAGTGCCGTTCTGTTATTGCTCTGCGTGTTGCTGGGCTATAGCGTGTGTGTTTTGAGAGGTGTCTTCCCTTCAATGCTAAAGAAAGAAGAGGGCTTATTGTGCTCAAGTGGAAAGAGATTTCTAATAAATTATTGGATATATTAAATGTAAAAGGATTTTAATTAGTTATGTATGGGCATATGCAATTACATTTTGTTCTCATATTTTTGTGCATGATAATTGTATTTTAGACTTTTGTGCTCTGGACAAAGGCTTTGTGCATTGCAAAGGTAAAAATTACCGGTACTCATCTTCTTTCTAGATGTATTTATTGGGTTCTGGGATGTTCACTGTAAAAGAACTTCTTCAGGAGAAGAATCACAGGTTGCACTTAACACTAAGGTTTGTAATGTTCTCCTGTTCCATTTAGGAATTAAAAAATCTTAGTTCCTGAAAGCGTGCTTAAAATGTGATGAAAGTTGACCACGAGATGTGATAAAACCCTTTTTCTTTTTCTTTTTTTTTATTTTTAAGTTCCAGGCCACTATTAAAGGAAAACAGAAAAATGTTCTATTGTGTGGTAATTAAAACATGTAGAACAAGACCTTTTCCAACATGGTGACTGACTTTCATACCCAAAGCATGAAAGTCTTTTAGCATTTGTTAGATATCGGTTCTAGTTCTACATGTCAATAAAGTATTGGCAAGATACTCATTTTTGTTCACTTTGTCCTATCAGTGTAATGTGTCTGTGGAGAGTGGCAAAATACTGTATTTTCAACTATGCAGAGGCATACATAGCTTGTGAGAGGGAGACTGAAACCCCTCAAAGCAGAGGCTTAGCTATGTGGGATATCTTGACTAGACAGAGAGATCTAGGCTCTATTACTCTTTTAACACGTGCATGTTGCTAAATGTATTTATTAATATAATGCACTAGCAATAGGAAGAGTTACCTTGTAGCAACATTGACCAATGTAATTTTCTAATTCAATTCATATTGGAAGCTTTAGTGGAAAGAGTATGACTCAGGAAGAAATGAGAAAGGGAGGATGTGGGTCTAGTATCCCTCCTGAAAGTAATAGTTCCAGTCATAGGGATCACACATGGAATCCAGTGTTGGACGAAGTTAGGTTAAGAGTTGGAGAAGAGTGAAGAAAGCAAAGTGAGATTAAGCGAGGGGAGCTCTGATGCATAAATGCACATTGTAGTAATGTGTCTTGAAAGTAGGACAGGAATCCTCATCACAGAAGGTAAGGGCGAATCAGCTGAAGGGAAGAAGCATAATCAGAGGCACTGGAGAAGACAGTGTTTGTAGTATCAGTGGAATGAGCACTCAAAACAGTGACTGTGAAAGACATGCAGGAATGTGTTAACCCAGGCACAACTAACAGAAACACAGACAAAGCTTTTGATGCTAAGAGGAGAGATGCATGAAGCTTTAGCCTTTTCCTAACATGTGGCAAAGAAAGAATTAACAGGTTTTAACAGTGGGGAGCCGATGAGGGAAATGCATTAGAAAAGGCACCGGAAGTATGACACTGATGATGGGTAATAGTCTTAATTACTCATAGCTGTGAAAAAGAGGAGGATTTTTTTGAGGGAGATGAAAAAAAAGGAGTGTGATGGCAGGACTTCCCTGGTCCTGTTAGACATGTTTATTCTGTTAATATTGTTCTTTCATGACTAAGCTGAAAATGGACTTTAATAAAGTCATTGTTTTGATATCAGGTATATCTGATTATTAGAGCAAAGTGCATGAATACATGCACATCTTTTCTTTGTTAAATTAACCCATCAAATACATAAACTGGATGTGAAGCAATGTCTTATATATAAAGTCTTAATGTCTTATACCTGCTTCAAACCTTTGATATTTAGACCTTATCTTGTAGTCCTCTTGTGTGCTTATTTCTTTTGTCTCTCCAGGATTGTCTGTTCCAGCGATTTACTTATGTTTTTCTGAGTTCTCCCTACATATTTCTAAATGTAGACAACAATCTTAAAATGCTGTTTAAAACCTCTCTTAAAATAGTAACATAATGTCTTTGCCAAAGTTAGGCTGTGTCACAGGTGAGACAGAATAAGCAATAACATGTGAAGGATCTGGATACAGGGGTTTATTTAAGAACCCACAGGATTAGAGCTTTTAGGCTACTTGGTTCTCTCATACCCACACTCCCTCCGTCGCTCCCCCTGCAGCACTATGTTCACTACGTTGTGGCTTCCCTTCCCAGCAGGGAGAATGTTGCTATTCCAGGAAGGTTGGGCAGAAAGTCGTGTCAGCTCTTGCTGTGATGCGGCTCGTAGTTACCAGGCTTGGGCACGAGTGGCAAAGGTCCTGGAGCATCCCCCGGCATTTGTCTCCACAAATCGCCCTGATCTCCAGGACCTCCCCCCGCCTCCAGGATCTTACCTCCGGCCAGGATCTTCACCCTCTTCTTTCTAAGACTGCATATTTTTGAGAACTCTTCTTTTTGGTACCAGCTATCCTTTCTGAAACATCACGTCCCTGATTTTCCCAATCTAAATAGTTTACAGGAGCACAAGGTGTGACCAGCCTCCTATTTGGTGCTTCTGTGTCATGTCTCAATTATTAACTGGAGGATTCGGAATGTGCCACTTTTGGTTAGTCCAGGCGTTACCAGAATTTGTAACCAGCGTGTACCAGTTGCAGCTAGCAAGTAGCAGCTTCTGCTAGAGAGTTAAAAAAATTAATTTTGACCATTCTCCCCACCACGCATACATCCAGTTGTATGCCACCTGCTAATGTTCATAGCTTAAGCTGTTTTTGCCTATGACAGGCCGACTGTAAAATCTGAACTTTCTGCAGTTTTACAGAAATGTTGAAACGCACACATGGTTTTAGGTTGCCTGCAAATAGGAGGTCTGTGCAGTGTCTTTGAAAAACGAGAGGAATGTTTTCCTACTGTTAGAATATAAGAATATGCAAAAGTAGGTTGCAAAACTTCCTATTTAAAATGTTCATTAAGCTCATAGATTAAAAAGACTTTTATAAGTGTTCCCTTGTTGATAAACAGGTCCACCTCCAAAAAAATTTCAACGCAGAGTGTTTGTTGCAGGTCTGCTGAAAGTGACCGTGTAGGTAACATTACAGTTATTGGATGGCAAATGGAGGAAAAAACTGACCAAAGGCCTCCAGTGACAAGGTCGCCGGATACAATTAATGGAAGGGTGAGCATGACCGTTGTATCAGCTTCAGAAAGACACAGATTTATTGACAACAGCGAAATAAACTAAGTTACGATCTGCTGTCAGCTTTCCTGTCCATCTTAGTATGTATTAATCGTACTTAGTGTCCGTCATGCTTTACAGTGGTGGTGAAGCAGTTCTGTATTTTGCAGAGCTCTTGGTGCTCATGTTTGGGGTTAAAAGGCCTAGAGAAAACTCTAGTTTACAGTGCTTAGGCTTTAGATTCAGGTGCTTGTGTCTTTCATCAGAATAGGCTTGCAGTACTGTACATTGGTGCACCTGGTGCATTTATAAAGCAATAAGCAGTTTCACAAAGATGTGGTACTGCACGCCTATGGAATTGGAAGGCGGCACCAAGCAAAGCAGTGATGGGGATGAGCAGGAAATGCAGAGTGGAATTTCCAGAATTTTGGTAGGCAACTTTTAAAAAGGACGTACCTTAAAAGATTTTAATAAAACTGAACATGTTGTTTGAATACTAGATTTTTTTGTGTGATGGCAAAATATTTTTCTGAGAGCAGATATTTATAGACCTTTGTCAACCTAGACATATGTTTAATTCTGTAAACCTTGTATTCTAAATATATTTGTGATAATTGCAACCATATCCTTGTATCACAGTTGCAGTGTGGATCAGTATCACTTTGTATCAGGCCAGAACTATCGCTGGCATGCATTGGTGCAGTGGCTTTGTGATCTTTGGAGCTGTGATAACTTAAACTAGCTGAAGAACTGGATGATAATTTTTACAGCATGTAGAATTGTGCAGTAGTAATAAATAAGAATATTTGGATAGGAGAGTTTGAGTGGATTTATTGTTTCAGCCTGCGATAGTTTTTGTCTACAGTAAACATATTTGGAATATTTATTTTAAACATGCCTTGTGTTGAATCCCCTTGATGCCTGTATAATAGGGTCATCACTGCATGTTCTTTTTTTTTTTTTTTTTAGATGGTATTGCCAGTTGATGAAAGTTTAACAGAATCTTTAGGAATCAGGTCCAAATATGCTTCATTGCGGAAAGATGCACTACTGAAATCTGGTAAGATGCTCTGGACTGTTCCTAGTATGCTTTCAGGATCAGTAAAACCTAATGTCTTGCTGTCTGTGTGTGGCCCCAGGATATTTGAACAGATGTTTCATTTGAATAGGAACAGGCTACTGATTGGGCAGCCCTTTGTAGGAGGGTCATACAAGAATAAATTATTTTATCATCTGCACTATAGTTTTGTATGGTAAAAACAGCAGAAGCAAACTTTTTTCATTAATTAGACTGTGGTAGAAAAAAACTCCGTGCAATCTGCAAGTCTATTCCAAAGCAATCATTAGCGGGGAAAAATCAGAAGAAATTAGTTGCATTACCTTTTTTTTTTTTTTTTTTTTTAGGACAGGTCAGTTTTCTAGCAAATTAGTGCATGAAGAAAATGCACAGTATGTAAATAAATTAGCAAGTTGAATCTGTATTTTATTTCCTTACTAGTGCTTTAAAATTTTTGGAGGTTTATTCTATGTACCTTGGAAGAATGGTCACTGCAGAACGACCATGCTTGGAAAAGCTAGACAGGTACCTTGCTAAACCTGATGCAGCATGTTAATGAATCTAAGCCACTTACTTTAAAAAGGAGAGACTGTAAGCTTTCAATTCAAACCCTGTGCTTAAATAACATGATTTTAATACTTTAGTGTTTGGTGGTGCCATTTGCCGGATGTATCGCTTCCCCACCACGGACGGAAACCACCTGAGAATCCTGGAGCAAATGGCCGAGAGCATACTGTCGCTGCACATTCCCAGGCAGTTTGTGAAGCTTCTTCTAGAAGAAGATGCAGCAAGGTGAGCATGAACAGGTTTGCACCTGCTGTAATACAGCAGTGATACGACTGTTGCTGAGTTACCAAGGAATAAATTTGCCTTAAAACACAGACAGACTGAAGCAAAAATAGCAACAGGAGCAATTTAATGATTGCTATTGCAGTAAACAAGGTTTCATGTCAGCACTTTAACTTCTGTTCTTTCGATATTAGCCTAATTCTGGGCCAGATCCTTCTCAGTAGGTAAAAATCAGACTAGCTGTACTGAACTTACACCAGTCAGGACTCTGATCTTTTCCTCTATAGTGGATTTACCTAGAACTTACATGACAAGAAGGAAAGGCCGTGAGTCATTTATTGATCTAGTCATTCTTAGTGGAGGGTAGCAAGAGTAGTACCATTGCAGCTGCTACATTATTCAGCTGGAAAAGTGCAGTTCTATAAAAAGGAAATTTTCAGGTACCCAAAGTAAACTTTTAATGATTCTTAGTTACTTTAAATATATTGGAGCACCAGGTGTTATTTTGCCCAGCTGAACTCTTAAAGGGCTGCAGGGTGGAGGTGTGTGCATTCTTAATTCATGGATATCTGATGGGACAATTGTTCCTAAAGCCTTTGTACTGCAGTAACGAGCAAGGATACAAATCCTTACTTTTTGGGTAGGATGGGGCGGGGAGGTGAGGCTCAGTGTTACTGCATGGTTTGCAGCAAGAGAAACTTCTAGATAAAACTGCCGTGGGATACTGCCACTGGGAGTTGCCGAACATGGAATATCATCTCCTCCAGATGCCAGTCCTCTTCAGCTGCTTGAAGAATATAAAATGGTCCCTGAAGCAGTTACTGCATGATTGGCATGCGGCATTTCTCCTGTCTTTGGTAGAGACAGTACCTGTTCTTTTTATAGTGTTAAAGATTGCACAAAAGCAATGTGAAAGAGGAGGATATGCTCATCCTTGGGCTGATGTCAGGCATGGCTAATCGATGCAAATGATTGCATCTGTATTGTCTCTTACCTTGCCTGAACATATGTTTAAAAATCAACTGTACCATGCGGCTTGAGCTGTTTGCCACCACGGTCATAGTGGTAGGATTTGTGTTGGGGGCTGCTCAGTACCTTAGTTTCCCTGCATGGCCCAGAAGGCTTTTTCTAGGTTAGAGCCACTGTGTGAGTCAGCTTGTGAGCTGCATAAAGTCTGGGCTTGAGTGTATGCTAGTGTGAGAGTACAGAGGTGCTGGTGGTGAGAAAACTGGTGATGGAGTGAAGAATTAGGATGATACTGCAGGTACGGGTTATCTGCTCCTCTCACAAAAGTATTGATAAGGCCACAGATTATTTTACTCCAAAATAGTGTGACTGTTAGGACCAGAGCATTAGAATATGTGTGTTTTATATATAGTATCATTTATATACTTCGGCATATAGTTTGTTTTTTTTTTAAACAAAGTTTATTTTTAACATAAAGAAAAACAAAGTTGAATTCAAAATTAAATGTATCTCAACGTTTCATGGAAGGAGGGACTCTGAATAGATGATGCAGCATAACTGAAAGAGTGATAACTCCAGCTGCTGAAAATGTTGAGAAAGGGACAGAGACAACACTGAAACCAGCTGAGTGGAGTGAATAATTGGAGCAGCAGGCAGAGAAGAAAAATCAGAACTGCTTTGAAGGTGAACTCTGAAAAAGCTGAGTGACTTCCACGCTGTGAAAAGCAAGCAGAGGTAGATCACAGGAGCGCTGACTCCTCTCAGTGAGTTGAGAGATGGCTGTGAGAGTCGGAAGAGAAGTTTTGAGTGGAAATCAAGCATACAGAATAAAACCAAGTAAAAATCAGATACCATAGGACAGTAATAACTTGTTCTCATAATAGGAGGTAGGAGGGAGAAGGGAATCTCTTAAGCATTTTGTAGGTGTACTTTGAATTTGCTTCTTTTGAAGCAATTAACTCTCTTGTAGGTAACATACCCATTTATAAGTCTTACTTCCCTGCATTTGTAGATCATGGTTTGCAAATGTAACAGTTTTTGTGTTCTATATAAAAGACGGGTTTTCCGTGGAGACGGTAAAACAATTTTAGCTATATTACTAAATGTTGACTTTTTGTTTTGGGTATGTTTGAATCTACTCTTAGAGGTCGAATTATGTGTGACCTTAATTAAAGGCAAAACTATCTAATGCTCTAAGTATCCTATATTAATACGTTTCAATTTCTTTGAGATAATTTGAAAGAAAAAGATGTGCTAATCCATATGAGCAGGAGAAATCTACAGTGTTTGCATGTATTTTGATATTTTGTAAAAATGATAACTTCTCACAAGAAGATTGCAGTTAATTTTTTTTTTTTGAATATATGGAAAAAGCTTCCTCATGACATGACTGACTGAGTTTTTTAAATTCATACTGTGAATTTTTGGTGCTGTTCTGTTTTGGTTTTGGGGGAGGTGCACTGAGTAAAAGTATCAGTTGTGTTAAGGTCATCAAGCTCTTAAACTCTAGAGAATGAGTGCTGTATTCTCCACAGACGTCCTGCTGCAGCCTTGATGGCAAGGGCTTGGGACAGGCTTGCTATTACATACTGGACGTGAATTGTCCGTTATTCAGTGTATGTCTGGTTCTCTGCAACTTTCCTCAGTGCACATATGAAAGCACCTATTAATTATGAGGTGCAGCCATGATAATATAGAGAGTTGGTAAACTTCTCCGTAAGATGTCCTCTGTGAGGCACATGGTTTAACGACCTGAAGATAACAAGAGGAGAATTTAGGGTGAATGAGAAAAAAGATACGGCCTCCTGTTAGACTGCGGATAATGAAATTTCTTAAAGCCTTAGCCATGAAATGTGGCTGCTCAGGGGCTCTTGCTAAGAACAGATGGAGACCTGCAGATGTGTATTGCATACAGTTCTGGGTTAATAAGTAGCCAGGTGACTGCTAACACAGCTTAGGCTCACGTGCAATTCACACAATTACTCTTTGTGTGTAATTAGTGAGAATTAGTGGCCCATCTCCCTTTATTCGGTTGGGGGGAGACTCGGTGAGGTGCAGAATTCTTCTTTTTTGCCAGTGCTGTTATGCTTCTAATGAATTTATTTTAAGATGGGTTTCTGTTACATGCATTTGAATTAGTGTCCTATTTTGTGTTCTTGTTACAGCATGGGAATTAGCACAATCACAGTTTATATTCGTAGGATACCTCAGATTTGGCCAAGTGCTCTTTTCTCCATCCTCTGTACTGTACCCCAGAGGAATGCTAGGCAGCTATACCAGCACAGCTGCTCCTGTCTTAATATCATGGTGACAGTTAAAGTGTCCTTGGATAATTACAACTGCTGTCTCTTACATAAAGCCCGTCTGGCCCAGAGCTCTGAAAGGAGACAACTAGCCAGGGGGGGTATGTCATGCACATCCCCTGGCATCTCAGAGCCTTGTGGAGCCAACAAGTAAAGGACATGACAGCTTCTGTATCACTTGAAGTTTTAAGCCATCAACTTGCTGCAGGAAGGCCGGGACTCAACTGCATGACTTGTTTTGGGCAGGGAGCTTGACAAGATGATCATAATAGCATCTTACGGATAAGAAGTTTACAAGATGGAAGTGAAAGCCTCTTTTTCCAAGTCACTGGTGAATACAGTTTACACTATATTTACCTATTGGCAAATCAATTTGATGGTTTCTTGGAAACTTGCCTCCTTTTGATAATGTCCTAAATACTGTAGAGTAGGAATTACTCTGTCAAATGCTGTCTCAAACTGTATGCAGATAATTGATTAAAGCTACAGGTAAGGGATATTGAGAGAAGTGCAAAAAGAACTGCTAAATCCTTTTTACAAATGATAGTTTTGCTTCCTCTACAGTAATGTGCTGTTGCATTCTGTTTAGTGTTGGCTTGTTTCCTTTTTCCCTTCTTCCTTTATTCCAGGTAATGTATTTAGTCCAGCAAGACAGTAATCAAAAGCATTACGTGAAACACACCACATATTTTTCAGCAGCAGTGTTGAGGAGCAATAAGTAACACAGGATTGCCATGTGTGATTGAAAATCTAGTAGTTGGGGTATGACAGGAAAGCCAGGGTTTTCTTCCGTTCAAATCTGGGGCTTTCCAGTTGTCCTATATTCCGCCTAAAGTGAAACTTGAGTGCCTAAAAACCTGAATCACAGAAGAAAGTTTTGTTGGCTCATCTACTGTCTCTCCAAATGCTTATAAATGCTCATGCTTTCTGGATCTTCCCTGTCTGGCCTTGGAAACTGTTGTGTGACATGAGTCACAAGGAGTGTCTGTGCTGGCCAGAGAGATGCTAATCTCCCGCCTAACCCCATCACATTTCAGATTTAACCTGAGAGCGACCTGAATTCTGTTGAACATCCTAGAAAGGTCATCACTGTCCCAGGTTACCTGATATGATGACAGGGCCCGTCGCCTGCAAATCAGTCAAGTAGTTTGAGGGCTTCTGCTGAAAGGTGGGAAGCTTTGATTCAAGGTCCTTTTGATCCCAGCCCTGGGGAACATGGTGTATTCGGCCTGCAAAGACCCTTTATACCTTGGGCTGGAGCTTGACAACTGTGCTTTCAGGCATAGGTTTGGGGGCATTTCTGAGCGACTAAGGTAGTCTGGAGTGAATTCAGAATGTGTCAGCTGAGGATGGTCCTATGCTGGTATAGTGAAACGCCTGTTCTTGGTGAAGTGGCCAACTTAGCTAAACACCTCTCTTTTTTTCCTTCTTTTTCTAGGGTTTGTGAACTAGAAGAACTGGGAGAGCTGTCTCCCTGTTGGGAAGGCCTTCGTCGACAAATAGTTACTCAGTACCAAACAATTATATTAACTTATCAGGAAAATCTAACAGACCTGCATCAGTATAAAGGTTAGAAAGATCTGTTTTCAGTAATAAAGCGATTCACCTCAATCATGCTTGTTAGCGTTCCTCTTAAGTTGGGAACCCAGAACGTTTTAGTTTCAGTTTGATGAGTAAAAATACTATCTTTAGGTAATTTTTCTTTATTAATATTTATTGTGAATTTGCTGATGATCAGGGAATATTTGTCTGCTTCTTTCTCTTATTTCACTCTGGAAGTACAGAACAGTTATGAACACCAACAGAAAGGCTGATCTTCATGTATGTTTTTCTCTCTCCTTTACTTTCAGCATGTAGCAAATGCTGAACAAAGCCCCATGATTATTTAAGCTTAGGTAGATGCAGAGCATTTTTAAAATTTAGATGCAGAATAATTATTTTTCCTCTGCATTTCCCAGGTCCGTCATTTAAAGCCAGTAGCTTGAAAGCTGATAAAAAATTGGAATTCGTTCCCACGAATTTACATATACAGAGAATGAGAGTCCAGGATGATGCAGGATCAGGTACATCTTTTCTTTCTCCATTTTATTCTTTTTTTTTTTTTCTCCATTTTGGATTTCCATCCTCAAACCCATAGCCAAGTTTCCCTAAACTGTTGCTCTGTAGTAGTAATACTATTTGACATTTTGGTAGCACCTTCTGTCCTTGGATTCCAAATTTCTTTGCAAAAGAAGAGGTGTAAGTGGAATTGTCCCTATTTTACCAGTGGCAAAACTGAGTTCTGGAATTAACTGTGCCCAGAGCGACACAAGTCAGCCTTGGTGCTAGGGAATCCATTGGATTAAGCGGCTGTGTTCCTTCCAGTCTGTTTGGATTGTATCAGGGTAGCCACGGTTCTGACTATTGTTTATTTTTAAGATTGCATGCCTTTTTTTTTCCTCTAGAGCGTCATGTAGGGTTATGTAAAATCATACCAGCTCATTTACAAGCTTGTTTCTTCATAAATAACCTAATTTTTCTCCTCTTTTAATGCTAATGACCACTAACCATGGACACACACTTGTACTGTGTATCCATGTAAGGGATCCCTGTAATGCCAGGTTTAGTGTAAAGGCCAATGCTCAAGGCATCTTTTTCACTGTCAGTCTTCTAGATCAAGAAACAGAGGTCCTGCATTCAAGTGTGGTTCTTCCACTTCAAAAGTACTTGATGGATTTCCAGGGCCTCAAAAACAAGTCAAGTTTTCTGTGTCCTTCAAAACACTGGAACGAGGCTTTACAAAATTACTTTCAGAGTAGTTTTCAGATTTCCCACAGCTGTTTGTCCACAGTAAAGATGACAAGCTTTCACTTGTAAGTCCTTTTTGTCCATCCCAGATCAGAACTACGACATAGTCACCATAGGAGCACCAGCAGCTCATTGTCAAGGCTTTAAATCAGGTGGCTTGCGGAAAAAACTGCATAAATTTGAAGAGGCAAAGAAACAGTAAGTACAAATATTTTTGTGTCAGCTGAACTCGTGTCTTTTCCTAGTCGTTCGTGCTCAGTGGTTTGGAAAATCATTTCATTCCGTGTTTTTATTGGGCCTCATTCAATAGTTCTACTATATACTGTGAAGATTAGTTCATGTTTTTCCAAAGAAGAAGGAAAACAGTTTCCCCTGTATTTTACCCTATTTGTTTGTTTACTGATAGGCCCTTTCTAGTGGTCTTTTCAGCAAAATCTTTAATTTTCCAGAGCACTTGTTGGATTATTTCATTTAACTATTTTAAGTGTTGGGTTTCAGTTCTGCCTAATTTTAGGTTAGAAAATTTGTCTGTAGAACCTCCTTAGCTGCACCACATCACACTTTCAACCCATTACTTTTGGAAGACTTCCACCCCTCTCATAGCTTCAAGGAGTTCAGGTTGCTGAACTCTCTGTAGTACAAAACAGCAGTGCTTGATAGACCAATTTCTTGTTGACAACTTGGGCTGAGTTCTGGGAATGTTGCGGGAGGTTTTTCTGTACTGCCTCAAGGTTTATGCAGACCATGTGCAGATTAGGCTTCTGAACCTAGCCTCACTCTGCCCTACAGGCAGGGTACTTCACAGTCCTGTCTTCAGGGGCTGTCTAGTGACCTTTATGGAAGTGCAACCATATGTATTAGAGGAAAAAGCAGAAATTGGGAAGGTCACTTATGCTAAAGGGACAGACCTGTATGGTGTCCACTCTGACTCCCAAGGAAAAGATAAAGCCACCTGGGTCTATGTTAGCTTTGTTGCGGTACAGAGAACTTGAGGAACAATAAGAGCAGCACTACAGGGAGAGTCACTGTAGCCAGGGAAAGGAGACCTTGGTAATACTCTCCCAAAGAAGCGATTGATGGTTTGGAGCTGATATGAGGAGTGAGTGACCTGAGAGTCAGGCTCTGCCAACTGCAGAATCAGTTTTGGCAGTGGATAAGTGAAGAGCAGCATCCCGTGAACGTTAGTCAGATGTATAAAAAGATCAGTACAAAAATCTGCTAGGTGTAATTATTCCTTACTTACAAAGTGGGCTAGGATGGGACTACAGGAAACTGTAAACCTGGAAACACTGGTATGCTAGGCTCACCTTCCTGTTCTTTTGACACCGCTGTCGCTTTCTGAAATACCCTCCTTCTGTCACCTTAGATGGGTTTCACTCCTGCAATATCCAAGCTCCTGTGTGTTTTTTATTCTCTCACATTAAGCTGATTGGAGAGCTTAATTTCTGTCCGGTGCTTTTCCTCTACGCTTTACAGAACTGTTCTTTCTGGGTCCAGGAGAACTGCAGATTGAACTATGGTAGTACTTTCAGCAGAAAAAAAAAGGAGTTGGCATAGGTAATACTTTCAGCATAGGTTGTGGGCTGTTTGTTACTCTGTAGAATTATTTGGGGGGGGGGAGAATTTTCCTGTTCCAGCATTCACTTAGAAGACTGTTAGCGGTTTTGTAGTAATTTATTCCAAGTCAGGAAAAAGCAAGCAGGGACAAATAGCATATCCATACAGAGAATCATAATAGGTTTTTGTTACAGAAGATTAGAAAATCAGGTATTATATCAGGTATTTCTTCCAGTCTGTTTAAGTAAGTGTTTCTGTTCTGGAGCATTTATTACACTCATTTTTGGGGAATTTAGAAAGCTAAAAAAGTTGAAATATTTTCAGGTTTGAGATTAACAAAATGCATTTTGAAAGACCTTGTGCTGTGTAACTGAGACTTCCTCTCACATGCTTAAAGTGTAAAACCAGCACTGTGGGCCACAGCTATGAGAAATTCAACAGTTTCAAAGGATGAACTTGAAATACTGTGGAATAAATTGAGTCAATAAGAAAGAGTCCCTTCCAGTTCGATATATGTTAAAAAAACACAACAGCAACAATCTGCGGGTAGAGGCAGCGCCTGCCAGTCAGTCTGCAGCTGGCATCGGTGGGGTTCATCTCTTCCATCTTTCAGCGTCTTCAGTGCAGATGTAGATATCTGAGCTAGGTATCCGGGGCAGCTTTCAGTGTCTGTGGAGGTTGTGCCAGATACGCTAGTGTAGGTATCTACGGTAGGTGAGGTTTCCCTTTTCTCTCCATGGACTGTACAAGCAGCGTAGGATGATTAGTTCAGACATAGACATGTATTTATAGGTGTCTGAAGCTGGAGGAGTTGTATCCAATCCTTAATTTCTGTTGTCAGTGGTAATTTTAGGACCTATGTTATCAAAAAGTTAGGGCTCAGGATTGCAGTGGCCCCGCTAGCCTAAAACACATCAAGAGTAGGATCCTGATTAGGATTATTGATAAACATACCATGTTACATGATGTATCCCATGTCTTGGTAGCTAACAAAAATATATTGTAAATTTAATCTGGGATATGTACCGATCTGGTAGTATGAATTTCAACTTGGTGATCTATGTAAAATACAATTTTAGGATCTTCCTAGTAGGATGGCCCTTTTAAGTCCGTCTTTGTTAACATACAAACTCCTATAGTAGAACTGAGTTCCATCTCTTTGATTTCACTGTTACGTAGCTATTGTTTAGTTCTTTTATCTTTCACCGGCAAAATCATTCTTTGCGAACCCACGTTTCCCCCAAACAAACACATGGTCATCTGGCAATCTGTGTTTTTTGCTTACAAGTTTAATCGTGTGTACCTGCCTTCTTGAAAACATGACACAAATATGTTATTTCCCCAAACATCCTTTGCTTTGTTTTCTGCTTTTGGTATTTGCTAACAATCTGCTAATTTTATTTTGATTTTTTGTTTTTTTAGCAGTTATGAGGAGTGTTGGTGAGTTTTCTGTTTCTGAGAGTTCTGCAGAGAGGGTTTCTGTTCCTTGGGCTTTTTTTTCTTTTTCCTTTTTCTTTACTTTGGCAAAGATCTAGCGTGTTTTAAAACGTGCAGGGCTTTTTAATGTCATGCATCATGGCACCCCTCATTGTGCTTTAAATGACTGCAGTTACTTCGTAGAACACGATGTGTGAATGAATTGCATTTCATCTGCAATGTTTGTTTGTAATGAACAGCTACCTTCCTGGCTCTCTCTGATCCTAAGTTAGAAAGCTGCAGATCAGAAAAAAAGAATTTGTCTCTTTTCCTCTGTTATTTCTGGTGAAAACGTGTAACCATTTAGACAGAGAGAGAGAGAAACCTTCTGCCAAAAGTAGAAGATAATGAAGGTAATACTACATATTTTTTAACCTTTATGGTGACATATTGGGCATGGTTTATATTTTTGTAATCCATGTCTTCATTTAAACATTTTCACCTAACCTTTGTGTATTTTTCTTCACGTTGTGGTGTTCAGTGCTATAAAAAGGAAACAGTACTTGATGGTTGAACAGTGCAGAAGTTCTGCTCTAAATTATTTACGTTTAGGATTGAATCCCTAATCCACTGAGAGCTCTAAGCCTGTGTTATAGCTTGCTTATGTAGTCCAGTGAGAGCTGTTCATTTGAAAAAGCAATTGCAGGTTGGAAAGTTGATATATGTGAACCTTACACCATAGAATTTCCCCCAATCATCCCAGCAAATGTTTGTGATTGAAAAAGTAGTAATTCTAAGTTAGATCTCAATATGTTGCATGGCCTTTCCTGCCAAATACTTCATCTTTATGCATGTTAACCACACTGTAGTGGAAAGAAATTGCTCAGAGGAATTGTTACTAAGACCATCAGTCAGTATAGACCATGACTCATGTACAGTGAAAGTCCTAAAAACTAAGATTTATTTTCCCTATGGCTTAGCAATACTGAGAAGTGGTCTCCACTCAGGTGGTTGACCAGAGGGACACAACCAAGGCAACTCTTTCAAGAATCGTTTCTGCATTATGTCCTTTGAAAATGAATCCCCCACCTTGTCTTTTAACGGAAGTCCGACGTTAAAAATCAAGCTTCCCTCTTGCCTTAGTATCTAGTAAGGGGCAAGAAGGCTTCCAGTTGGCACCTGTGGCAATTGCTTTAAAGCGTGCCCTGGGCGACTCTCCTGTGTTACCTCACAGACACCCTGCAGAGATGGCTAGCACTGCTCTAGGACTAGCAGCAGGATTCACTTCTTGGCCGTAGGGACGGGAGGCTGCCGTGCCGTGATGTTGTTGAAACCATTTATCACTGGAAGAAGCGAATATAACAAAATTAAGATAATAGACAGTAGATGGCACCTCTTGATGCCACACCGTGAACGGGATGTGACACCTGTCACGACTGGAGCTGAAATAAAGGCTTGATATTCTTACAGCTTTCATACTAGGGGAGAAAAAACAATGTATTACCTGGCAAAAAGAGAGATGGTGGGTTGGTTCCAAATAATTATGCTCTTACGTAACTTCAGCTATCTAAAAGTTAATTTTTTCCCTTCCACCCCCAAATAGACAGCCTCAGCGGAGCTGCAGTATACCAATATAAAAATATGTTTTATTAGTATCGCTTGTTTCCCTTCCTATTTGGAAAAGGCTAGTTTGGTATAGCTTGTGCTGTTACAGTGGGTCTACAATAGGGATAGTTGCACCACGTCCCTAGCTCAGTGTAGCTGTTAGCATTTGCTACAGAAGCTGTACTGAAGCTAGAGTTCCTGGATTAGCCTGGAGATATCAGAAAAGATTGCTTTCACTGGTGTAACTTGAATCAGGCCTGCAACAGAGAAAAGTACATACTAGCAGGAGGAGTTTTTGGCGATACAACAGGGTCTGCATTAGGGATCTAGGTGGCATTTCTCTGTTGAAAAGCGCAGAGATTGTCTTTTCACAGTGCTAGTAGCTAGTTTGTAACCCAGGCCTCAGTGAAGTGTCTGTGTTGTAAGGAGCAGGAAAGTGGGACAAACTGTCCATGAAAGCAATGTTTCTCTCTCTGCTGGAAAATCTATCACAGACACATTCTCCTCAGGAAAATTGACCCTCTAGTATACAAGCCCGGCCCTCCGTCACTTGGCATAAGGGATTAGTAAATTTGCATCTGAATGCTTCCAAGTAAAGGCAGAGAGGTTCTAGGATCATGTTCCTGCTGTGCAATTGCCCACTGGCCTTTCACTGTGGATCGCTAGCTTAGGTGTTGTCTGCCATTAGTTCCCCAGCATGCCACTGTAGTGTGTGTACTTCCAGATCAATTTTCCCCTAACATCATTCTTTCTTTTTCAGCACTTCAACAAGTTCCCAGTCTATAATCTACATCCCCCAGGACATCGTTAGAGCAAAGGAAATCATTGCACAAATCAACACCCTGAAAACTCAAGTCAGTTACTATGCAGAAAGGCTCTCGAGAGCTGCCAAGGATAGATCAGCTAATGGCCTTGAAAGAACGCTTGCCATCCTGGCAGACAAGGTAGGAGAATAATATATCCCCAAAGCATGGCATATTCTGAAGCACGCTGTATTTTTTTTCTCTCTATTTCTCTAGTAAGTTTTCTTGAAATATTTATTTTGCCAGGTACAGTAATTTATTGTACCATGTACAGTCCTTAAATGAAAAAAAAAAAAAAAAGGAAAAACTGACCAGCCTTTTGAATTCACTGCATTTTATTGGGATTTTCTCCTGCCATACACACTCACCTGCCTCTACCTTCTCTTGAAAGCGCAGTGGAGAACTAAGAGTGTAAAGCAATGTCCGCTGGTACTCTCCATTCAGTCATCATATTCCAGAAATGAGCATTCTTCATTTTCTTTTATACTCTTTTCTTCATAATCACCTTTCTTTTTTAATGTCCCTCTTAGTCATATGTCAAGCATCAAAAAGTGGACAAAGCTTAAGTAACTTAAGCTCTTTTGTAGTGTTCCACTGCCAAAATAAGTACTAATGGTGACACAGCCTTTACCTGAATTATAATGATATGAATCCATTATTTTTTGATGCCTGTTAACAGAAATTAGCCTGGACCCACAGCTGAACACAATCTTATTTACAGGGACAAAACACAAATACAGTGTTACTGACCTGTTATGTCCCTGAAGGAGATATTTTCTAAATAGCAGTAATGGCAGCAATGTGTGCTCAATCAGCTTGCTAAAAATTGTCCAAGTTGGTGTGGCAACTTCTGTGTATTGTAAAAAGTGTCTCCATATTGTTTTAACCTTTCGTCAAATGGAGAGTGAAGTGCTAATAAACCTGTTGAGAATCACAAATTTATTAGTGAAGTTTTCAACAAGTGCACGGCCAAAAGAGTAGTATGGACTTTGGAAATACACCCTTTGTATTTGGTATCCTATATATCTTTTTAAAGCTATGCTGTAAAATGGTTTTAAAGGCACCTCAGAGACTGCTTAATGGTGGTTATTTTCTTTTACAAGATATTAGTTATATTATATTCTTTCACAGAAAGAAAAAAGAAGAAATTGAGTGCAAATAAAGGAAAGGTTTTAAATTGTGGGGGTTTTATTGCTTTTTAGACCCGGCAACTTGTCACAGTCTGTGACTGCAAGCTGTTGGCAAATTCAATACATGCACTGAATGCTGCAAGGCCAGATTATATAGCTTCAAAGGCATCTCCAACCTCTGGAGAAGGCGAACAAGTGATGCTGAGGAACGACCAAGATACACTTGTGGCCAGGTGGACGGGAAGAAATAGCCGATCTTCTCTGCAGGTGGATTGGCACGAAGAGGAATGGGTACGTTTGCTCAAGGGAGTGATGAATATTTTCTTCTTTTCGGTTTTTATCTGCTGTGTTCTTTAATTGGAAGGTCTGTAACTGCTCGTCAGAGATCCAAAGGATAAGTATTTCGGAGCACGTTATTAGGTATCTTAGTCATCTACTAGAGATACTGGTAAACTAGCAAAGACGAGCCTTAATAAATCATTCTGTGTCTCCTCAATAGCAGAGATCGTTACTTTTGGTGCAAGGCTTTTATGAAGTCAGTTCCAAGGGAAAGTAAACAGTTTTTAAAATAAACAACTGAGGATCATACTACAAGGGGCTCTTACACTTAAACCAAAAATAAAACACATTTTGTGTGTGTTAGCTATACAATGCAACCTTGCAACTTTTCTCCTGTTTTTATCCCCTCATCTAAATATTTAGAAGTTGCTATCCATCTCTATTTTGGTTATGAACAGCTTTTTAAAACTGTTTGCACTAAGGATTTAAGTGGTTTTCCATTCAACTCTGCCAATTTACATGAAAGTTGGCCTGAGTTAAGTACTGTCATTTGTAATAAAAACAGAAGTGAATTAAATTTCAAAAATAGTCCAGATTAATTAAAACAGTGATTAATATTATGAAATACCAACGTAGAAATGAGATCCAATTTATTTGGAGAATAGATCTTTACACATTCTAATTGTTTTGGTGTTCTCTGACTTACAGTCAGACTCACAGTAATGAGATACTAATACAGCCAATTCAGTTACTTAGATACTGATATTACCATATAGTAATTTTATCTGTTACTCACAGAGTTATATAGGGAAGAAAAGATATGTAGTTGTAAACAATTATTACGTAATCATTTTTAATCTATAAAAACTACTACTTCTGTTATCTAAATTAGTAGCACAGTGGATTTAATTTTTCTGCAATACAGACTTGATACATAGATCATTCCAAATCTTTATAATTATTCCAGAAATCTTTCAGATAGTTTTAATTAATATTTGTACAAATTTGTATTTTTTTATTCCTTCATCTTAGTTCCTGCTTCTACAAAAGCAGTATTTACATTTACAGAAATAGCCACTTTTAAATGTTGACCGAAGGGACTAGCTCTGTATAAGTTAAAGCGCACACTGCCTTCTCCTCTCATACTTCTAAAATTGTCTAAAACTTCTCTGCATTTAGCTTGCTTTTGGGCCCATCCATGCTTAGAAGGGAATGCTAAATCATCTTCTCCATTCCTAGCCTTGAGAGGAATGAGATACATCTGCTTCTACGAGCATTCTGAGCAGAGAAAAGGCTGTTACTGAATTCTAATCACTCTGGACCTTAAGGAAATACATCTTTAAAGGAGAAAAGTAAACGTTTGTCAGCAAAAGTGAGGAAATGTTTTTCAGTCAAACATGGGTTTCAAAAATAAAAAATGATGCCTGTTGGAAATTGGAATAGTGAATCGTGGGTATAAGAGGCATGTCAAATTGTTCAGCAAATTTAATTTTAACATAGCTCTGCAATTTACCATATGTGACACCTCCACATGTTTTTGATATGCTGATTTATTTATATATGCAGAGTTTGTGTGTGCACAAATGTAGTCATAATAGCCCAGAAGAAACTTTACCTAAAAATCACACCAGGAAATGTATGTGTCAGGGGATTTGTTACCCTTTGTCTCTTTGTTTTTGAAATTGAGAAGGGAATGTTTTTCTTTCAAGGAGAAAGTTTGGCTGAATGTTGACAAAAGTCTGGAGTGTATTATACAGAGAGTGGACAAACTTCTCCAGAAAGAGCGCTTGCAAAGCGACAGCTGTGAAGACGTTTTCCAATGTGACACCAGCTGTACTAGTAAGAAAGGTAATCGGGACACTCGTGCCTACTGGATAAATCCAGAAGATTTAAATGAGACCTCACCATCACCTTCATCATCCTCACCACCATCATCATCCACATCATCCTGTGCATGCCATTCTCTCAGAAACGCAAGTGCGTATGCCAGACCCTGCTTATCACTGCTGTGCGTTGGCCTCCTTCCTAAGCCTCTCCTGCATCCTTCCCTGAGTCTCTAGCTCAGTGGTGGTGTTGAGCACTGGTGTCAGGCAGAGAGGGCTGATGGCGTGCTGAGAGCCACGAAACCCACAGCTTAGGTAGAAATCTCCATCCCACTGAAATCACTGGCAAATCTCCTATTGATTATGCTGGCATTGGGATTTCACAGTGGGTGTTTTGAAGCTTGTAAAACAGGCATGGGGGTTAGCTGTGTCAGACACCACCTCTGGTGGCTTTTCTGGTGGCTTCAAAGCTTCTGTCAAACAACACCTCTGGTGGCTCCTGTTGCAATCAAAGCTTATGACAGTGAACCCCTATAAAAGGTTAACTAAAATATGAGGGACACACATGCACTACTACTTCAACAGTAATGGCCCTAGCTGGGCTGCCAGAGTGTGGGAGGAGAGCCAAGGAGACCCATTAGACTGAGCTAAACTTGGATGGACTTATTGGAGTTTAAAGCAGATATTTATCCAAATTGTCAAAACCGTGGTGCTAAAGCCCTTGATTAGTTAGATTTCATATAGCTAGAAGGTAGGAATTGGCAGCGCAAGCTCTCAGTGGAGTAATCCTGTCAAAATTTGATGTCACAAGGGTACTGGGTGGAATCCAGTTGCATAATGCCATGAGAATGTGAATGAGAGAAATTCTTACCAGTTTAGGTTGACAGTTTTCCAGCCTTGCATTAAATTTCAAAATTATTTCATTTACATATGTAGACATTTGGCTTCTTCTCCCATTATTTACTTCAAAAACTTTGACGGTCACTATCATTTTTCCTTTTAATAGAACAGGTATGCCAAGTTTAGCTCTAGAGAGATAGATTTGTGTTTTCATTTCCTTTTGTTCTATCTTAATCTTTTGATGGTTCTTCCTCCCTCATCTATGTCTGTGACTTCATGTCCATTCCACCGTTAACATTACAGTAAAGTTGGAAAGCAATACCTTAAGCAAAAAAAAAAAAAAAAGGCAAGAGGGAAATTAAAATACTGTTTAGATATTATTTTGTATAGGTCTGTACCTCTGTTACATCTGATTTGCTTAGTATCCTAAATGACTGTGATTTTCAAGATTAGACTGACATTTTAGTGTATTATAAAGGAATAGGGGAGATGACTCTTGTTTCAGAATGTATTCTCTATTAATCTTTATGACTAGATTGTGTTCTACCGATTTGACAGCTTTAAGTGTTTTTATTTGCTAGCTAGTTTTATGAAGTTTTATGTAGATTTACACGGAAGTTTTATCAGTAAACCGCAATGCACCTTCCTATCAACAATAACAAGTTTTGAAGTTTTAATATTAAAAAGAGTAGGAAAAATCGGTGGAGAGTGGTATCAGAAGCTTTTCCCAAGACAATTCCATGCTAAAAGCATCTTAGAACAATCATTTTCTTTCAAAATGTACCCAGAATTTTCAGTCAAGCTTTTACCTCTGCTCTGGATCTCACTTACGTCATACCAAAGAGGAATTTGCTACATTTACCTACCACAGGTTTTGTCTGTGCCAAAAGTTTCTGTAACCTTTCCCTCCTGTGCCTCTGAAACAGGAAAAAATTTTCCCTTTTAATCCACAGAACTGGACAAATTAAATCAAGAAGTGTAGCAAGCTTTAGAGTTGAGGGGCTGCCATTTCCCAGTACTGCCTAAGTGTAAGGACTAGATTTGAAGTCTCAAGGACTGTCAACCAAAGTCTTGGCTGAACCTATCCTAAAAAATCCTGGAGAGGAAATCCTGTTTCTTAGATATCTGATGCAAGACATTTTTCATAGGTCTTAACGGGCAATTTGAATTACACTTGGGAGATTTACTGGAACCGAGGGCAAACTTGAGTGCTTCATCATTCTCATCAAATTTAGTTGCTAATTAAAGGTCAGGGTTTTCTGACAGAGGAACAGATTCAGTGGTATAAGAAAAGCTGATCTCATTGAAATCAATTGGAATTTTTCCGTTAAATTCATTTCCTTGTCTGAATACCTGAGAGACAAAGAAGGTCCATTCTCTAGGTTTGGACCCCAACATTTTAAAGTTTTTCCTGTCATATATTCAAAGAAGAAGCACTTTTGATTTTAATATGCCTGAGGTTTGAATAATCGACATTTTGTCAGATGAACAAATGAAAAGATGAGCAGCCAGAACTTAGTCTGAATACAATGCTAATAAATAGATAAATAAATAACCCCATATACTTCCAGAACTGGTAAGAGAGATGCAGTAAAATGCTGTTGAAGGACTTTAAAGGATCTCTTTAGAGGTGAATGTTTCGAAAGAAGATACTACTTAAAATCGTAGAGGGGAGACAAAATAATTTTTTTTAAATTTATTTTCATTATAGATTTAGATATTCATTTCGAAAATTACATTGGGGCCTATAGTTTCCGTAATGGATACTATGCGATTTGGCTTACTGAGAGGTTTTTATCTCAGATTATTCAGGTCACATGATTGTCCTTATGCTTATAATTGAATTTTATATTTTCTGCTGTTATTTTCAAATTCGTAGTTAATTGACGAGTGAATCTAGATATGAATACAACAGGAGTATAAGTCTGTTAGTTTAATAAACTGCTGGTCATTCATGCGAGACTTGTTATGGAAAGGTCTATTATCCTTCTACTGTTGGCATTGCACTGTAGCTATTTTTGTCTGACAAACTGTTCCTGCCACTGAAGTGGGTGTAAAACAGTCACAAGCTTCACTGGGGAGGTTTGAGCCTTTAACACACAATCCAATGCTGGTGTTAACTGTCTCAGAAATTTTGTATCATAAATTTGTCTAAAATAGCGAAATACTGTTGTTCTTGCAGCGTGGGTGCATTAATGTCATTTTCTGTTAAGTGCGCGAGCACGTCGAACTTACTGCTAGTCTTTTGCTATTCTGTTTAGCTGCCTAACTGCCAGCTTATTTTATAATCGCACTAAACCAGTGGTTCTCAAATGGTGCCTTGTGGATTGCTGGGGATCAGCAGTGCCCCTGGGGCAATCCCCTGAGAGCGGCTGAGCTCAAGGGTGCCGCCTTCCCTCCGCAGCCCCATCCTGGTGTCCCCCTGCTCAGGAATGGTGGTGTGGAGGAGACGGCCTGTGCCCTCTGTGCCCCAGGGCCAGGGACTAGCTCTGCTAAGCTGCGGTCCGCTCTGTGGAAGTGTTTGAGATCCTCGGCACTGAGCATTTGAGTTGCTTATGTTTAGACTGTGTTGCTGCTCCTTAATCATGCATGTTGCCCCTCCATTTCTGTGCAGATTGCAGCCCCGCTCTGGAAGAATCCGGCCCAGGTATGTGCGTTCATGGCTTCCGCTTCTTCTGAAAACTGCAGGTTTTTGTTTGTTTTTAACAACTGAACAAGTGCCTTGCTGATAAGACTGACCATTTTTGAACGGTAATGCTCAGCAATATCATGTGGTTTACCTAGATGCGTTGAGAAGTTGTTATTTCCTAAATAATAGTGCAAGAGGTTGTCCGGTAAGCACTGGTAGCTAAATGTTCATGTCCAGATATGGGAGAGTACTTGTTGGTGTTCTCTTTGGTTTCTCCGTTTGACACATTTTAGTAAACTAATGTGGGAGGCAGTGGGTTGGGGACATGTTCCCAGTATCACTGAAGCCTGTGGGAGCCTGATTTTAATGAGTTTTCAGACACGCCCTTTCATACTTGCTGGTAAACTTGCCTTTCTGAATGAGCACTAGAACATAGAGCACTCAACTAGGCTGATGGAGACCCACCGTGGTGTGGGTGTGCACCAGGCAGCGTAGGGCACTGCAAGCCTAATGTTTCAGAATACAAAATTTAAAAGATTTTTATCATACTATTAGCCTTCTCCCCTCTCTCCTTGTAGTTCCTCACACTCTTATTATATTTACAAGGCCTGAATAATGTGCCTCAGTAACACCACTCATTCCCAGCCAGATGGCTGTAATTTTTCCAGTTTGAGATTGGTTTAATCTGAGCTCAGTGGAGGTTTAATTTGTGAACTGTTACAGCATGGGCTCCTGGTTTTAGCGAAGCCAATGGGAAATAAAACCCCCATACAGGTACGATTTTCAGTTTTCATCTCCACAAAATGTAGAGTATATTAACATTTTTCTCAGCTGTCCACTCTGGCTGCAGTTACCCCATTTGCTTCTATCACAGAGGAAGTGCTTTTGGTCTGTGAAAAGCTGCACCAATTTTTAATGTATGTATCACATTCAGATGTTGCAAAAACTAAAGGGATGTGCCAAGAATTAATGCTATTTATTTATTTTTAAGATGGGAGTAATTAAAAGCAAACAGGTTACCTCGGCTGGGCACCCAAATGTACCCCAAACTGGATCTTAAATTTAATTAATTGAGGCTGCAATGTAGCAAAGCTCTTAATGCTTGAGTCCCTCTGAAGTCAAACGTGTCTTGACTATATACTTAGATGGGTTGCTAAATATACTTTACTGCATCAGGCCTAAGCATCTATTTCAGCAGTTACTTAAATCTGTCTTTTTCAGAGATTATGAGTATTTGCAACCCTGACCTAAACACAACGGCAACTGCAGGTGCCCAGTACTTTGATTTATGGGCGTTAGGGTCTCTTCTTCTTCTTCTTCTTATTTTTTTCACCCACAACATATCTCCTGAAAGACTCAAGATACCTTGTCAAGGTTCTGGAGGCCAGTTATTGTGATATCTTTGTTGCTCTGGAGAAGGAAGACTTACCAAAAATAACCTCCTTTTTCCCACCTATGTGTTAGAATCTTTGATTTATACAGACTTATGTATAAGGATCTTTTAGTGTATGCACATTACATTTTTTCTCATGTTCAGAGAGCAACATGTATTCAGAGAAGCTCCACAATGTGACTTTATAGGCCTTCTCAGCACTTTTTCTTCTTTTTTTTCTTTTTCTTCTTTTTTTTTTTTTTTTTTTTTTTTTACATACCACATCTCAAAGTGTGCCTTAAGGTATGGCTTTGATCAGCCCTGCTCATCAGAAAAGCAGAAAAGACTTGCAGAGCTAAGTCTGGCCCTTATTTAACAGACAGAATTCAGTTGGAGCTGTCTGACTGGAGCCTGCAGGATTTATCTCTTGGTACGCAACGTGTTTCTATAAAACACACAAAACAGATGACAGACTTCCAGTTTTTAGATGTGGAAAAACTTTTAACATGAGCTAGAGACCTCTGATAAAAAGTGAGATTTATGTCCAAAATGTATCTAAAGCTGGCTTGGACTAGATCTCCAGCTTCTGGAAATCTGTAACAACTCCTTCCATGCCCATTGATCTGAAGCCCTATACCAAATTAGTCTACCTATGGATTTGCCCAGTGGAATCTATAATAGTTTTAAAATATTCTGGTCATCTCATAAAACATAAGAACAGAGCTCAGAATAGATTTCTCAATAGAATTCGAGTGCCTCATGGTGTTTGAAAGTGCCATTGATTAATTTTATAGAGTATCTCCTTTCAAAAATAAAGGTCTCTTAGGAAAATTAATGAGGCAAAAAAGAAGGAAGGGAGAATCCAAGTGAAAGTGAACACTTGAGAGTCCTTTCAAATACAGTTATTTAAAAGCCATTAGTGGAATGTTTCACCCTGATTTGAGCCGGGCAGTGATTCCTTTTATTCCTGTTTACTGTTAATGGCAGCTACCATTGACTAAAATATTAAAAGGACGTGTATGACACTTAGGAAACAGGAAGTGAAAAGTGATTAGAATTCTGTAGACTGACAAAGGTTTCACTTTTTCCACGGTCAGTATTTTAAATCAAGAGAATACACAGCACAGAGGAGTTTTACTCATTATCCCAAATGAGCCATCTTACTGCATGTGAATTGTGAGAGGAAAAAAAAAAAAAAAGAGGTTTGCATTATCCTCAGGCGTTCTGGTGTACCACCAGGATACTCTATACCAGTATATGTATATATATTTTTATATAGTAAATATAATTCCTTTCGAACATAAGGGAAAACTTTATTGTGAGAGTAACAAAGCACTGGAACAGATTGCCCAGAGACTATGTGGAGTCTCCTTCCCTGGAGATATTCAAAAGCTGTCTGGACACAATCCTGGGCAATGTGCTCTAGGTGACCCTGCTTGAGCAGGGGGGTTGGACTAGATAATCTCCAGAGGTGCCTTCCATCCTCAACCATTCTGTGATACTTTATGATTACCATACCTTATATATGTGTATGTATATCCCAGCAATGGAATGAGGATGTGCCAGATGTCTTCAATTTTTTGTCATTCTCATTCCTGCATAGCAAAGCTCTTAAGTGCAGTTAGAGAAACACTTCATTAGTATCATCTATGTTTTGCCTCCTGAGTGTTCACGGGTCCATATTATGACATCTGTTTTATTTTGAGAGGACAATATTTAGTAGAATATAAAAGGCAAGCTGTAATTCTTTGTTCTCTTAATGTTTCCTGCTCTCCTAAAGTAAGGTGATGGAACAGAGCCAAATAACTTCCCCTTGTCTAGTTTATTAGATTGTCTATCTACCGCATAGAACAAAAGCAGAAAGGATAGTACTGTTAATCTTGTCAGTTATGTTTCTGTTAGCAGACTTCCAACGTTCCCCTCTTTGGATGGTTATCAAAGAAACATATATTAATACTGACTCTTAGCCCTATCTTCCAGTTGCAATCATGAACAACTTCCTCTCGCAGGCTTGAAATGACCCCATTCTTATAGGTTCTGCTCTGTACATTGCCTTGTTGGTACAGCCATCCAGACTAGGGTTGGTGTACCTTCTGTTTGTGGGCTCTGGTGCTTTTTAAAAATAAAACACTTTGTCCTCCCCTTTAAAAAGAAGTGGTGTCCTGTTTTAATGTTACGTTAAAGAGGGCAAAAGCAAACCACTGTTCTATCCTCTCCTTATATTGTAGAGAAAATGGATTTTAGTATAGTATCTGAATAACTTTTTGTAAGTTCATTTATTTTCAAGATGGTGAGGCAGTTGAATAATACGATTATGAGTCCACAAAAGATTCAAAGGCAGAGGCATCTGGGAGAAATCTCACTGACAGGAGAGGCCAAGGTGATGTTCACTATATCTGTTATACGATGGACTCCATGCTCTGTCCATGTATATGCACTGTGAAAGGGTGTGTTTGAACATGCACACACATTTATATACACATATGTATATAGATACTCATCTTCCTGTGTGCTTTCCAAATCACCTATTGTAAAGTCTTTTCTGTGGGGGCAAATATGAGAGCTATTGCATGGTTGGGAAAGTCATAACAGCCTTGTAGAGTAGAATTCTCCATATTTTCCTCATTCAAAAACCACTGTGTAAGGTAACATTAGCTTAGTAACAAGCAGGAAGTCACTGGACAGCCAGAATAAAACAAACACTAAATGTGGATCATTTTGCTTTAACCTGCAACAGAAATTTTCTTCTTAATGTAGGTATGCTTCAGATTAAGTACTTACAGTGCCATTAATTTTATTTTTTAACCAGGTGAATGGAGCGAGGCTCTCTACCCCTTGCTGACAACACTCACAGACTGCGTAGCCATGATGAGTGACAAGGCAAAGAAAGCCATGGTCTTTTTATTAATGCAGGACAGTGCACCAACAATAGGGTTGTGCCTGAGCCTTCAGTATCGCAGAGATGTTGTCTTCTGCCAAACTGTAAGCAATGAAGTTTGCATGGTCTGATTGCACTTAGCCTTGTGGCGGGATTTTATGAAGTCTGGAAGACAACTGCAGAATTTTTCTGATCTATGTTAACCCTCAGGTTTAACACTATGATCTCCTCTCGCAGATTGTGCTGTCCTGTTATTACTGTTCACTTGCCTGTGTTTGGAAATATAAAACTTATATCTTCCCTGGGACATATATTCCCAATTTTAAAAAACTGTGCCAGAACTAGTGAGATTAATGCTGCATACAGAAACAACCTTTGCATCCCAATGCCACTGATCAAAAACCAGAAGTAAAATGTGGAAGAGAGAGGAGGGGGAAGAAAAGGTTCATGAGCAGAAAGTGTACTCCCACACTTACATTTTGTTGTTTTTTTGCATCAAGAAAACCAATAGGACCTTTAGTACCTAAGGGGAGAAATCCAGCCACAAGGAGAGGAATGGGTGCTGGGATTTTATAAAAGTTCTGTTTCTGGACCTGTTGGGGTCTCTTCTGTGTCAGCCACGGACTAAGAGATGTCTGGAGGCACCTTCCATGCTTTTTCTGCCCACTACACTTACTCAGCTTGTCTGCTGTCCTGTGGAAACATTTTACATAGCGAGAATCAATGTCTTGTTTATTTATTTCAACAGCTCACCTCTTGTACGTTGTTTGGTAGAGCAGTTGTCCCAAAATGCAATTTCTCCTAGAGATAAACACAGATAATTTTTCCTTACAAAACCCACTTTATATTGCAGATAACTTTGTTTAACTCTGTGCTTTGAATATGTTTACCCATCATAAATATCCAAAAGACTGAATTAAGATTTAATCTCAGTATCACAGCCTTGTCCTGACCGTCTCATAACACTACAGAGTTTGAATCTTTATGTAGCGCAGACAGGCATTGCCTTTTTACAGCTTTCTTAAAATGTCATTTTAAAAAGATTAATTTAATCGTACTATCAAAGTTCTTGGCTTGGAACTAGTTGTGTTGCTCTGTAACTAAAACAATTCTCCAAGTAGACTCCTTTGTAATTCACAAGTTGTGGATTCCAGTACAAGTGATCATGTCAAGAAAACAAGTATATGTGAGATCAGCAGCAGTCCCACCTTGGGATAGCTTGCAAGTTCAAGCCAGTATGCCCTAAATCAGATTTTAAGAGCATTTTGATTTTTGTTGGTTGATTGTTCTCATGTCAACTGTAAGGAAAAAAACCGTGCCATTTAAAGGAAAAGAGCATCAGTGTGACCGATTTTTATGGCATCTCGTATATACAGTGTTGTTTCCATTTGGGGCTGAAGAGCTTTTTTGTCTGGAATTATTTCACTCTTGTCTGTTTTCTCTCTCACAGCTGACAGCTCTTATTTGTGGTTTCATTATCAAGCTGAGGAACTGCCTACACGATGATGGATTTCTGAGACAACTCTACACCATTGGCTTGCTAGCGCAGTTTGAGAGCCTGCTGAGCACTTATGGTAAAGACATAGAGCAAGTGGGTGATAGCAGCTGTGAGTCACCCAATTCTGCTTTAAATTGGTTACAGCAGAAGATGAATATATGGGACAATCTGCAGCTCAGCTACAAAATGATTTTGAAAACCGAAATGTAAAACCAAGTAATATCTGGAGTCATTAATTAGCTAGCAAATAGCAATTCCGAATTTCTTTTGATTTAGTTGACTTTAAAAAATAAAGTGCGCTTGCCTTGTAATGTAATAAGACTAAGGGTTTAAAAAAAGAAATATTCAACATTTTTTCGGAAAAGAAAGCGAATAAAATTCCAGTAAGCTGGGAGGAGCTCCATCCAAAAAATGCTTTTTGCGTTTCCTTGACCTTCATTAATCCTACTATAGAAAGAGAGACTGAAGAGATAATGCAAAAAGAAAACATATTTCACTCCTATATCAGAATAGGTATTTGGATACCCGTTAGGGAATGCTTTCCTGAATAAATCCAGAGTCCACTGTAAGACCCTGCAATACAGTGTGACAAAGCACTTTTTGACACAAAGGATGTCATGGATATGACTGTGCTGAGAAATATTTACTAGTGTTGTCTAAACTGGAAAATCAGCACACAATCTACTTGAAAGACAGTAGGCTGGTCTGGGCTGGGCTGTTTTCTATCCTTGCTAAACTCACAAAATGAATCAGGACCTTGTCAGGCAGATGTCGATCAAGGTGGAGGACCAGGCGCCCTACCCTCCTCACCCACAGAACGGCTTTATGAGAGCAGTGGCCTGAAGTCATAGCAAGTGGATAAGGGGAAGTTGTTTGTAATAATGATGATTGACTATTTCCTCCTTGATTTAGGTGAGGAGCTGGCAATGCTGGAGGACATGAGTTTGGGAATAATGGACTTGAGGAATGTAACCTTTAAAGTAACTCAGGCCACATCAAATACGTCTACTGACATGCTGCCGGTCATCACTGGAAATCGGTAAAAAAAGAAAGGGGAGGCAGAATGTGAGAGAAAAGAGTGGGGCTGAAGAAGGGAGAAGCGGTGATACTGTACTTGAAACTCAAGCGAATAATGTACTTTTATATTGTGCTATTTTTTTCTCAGAACTTTAGAGAGATCTTTTGGAGATGACTTTTTAATTTTTACCAGTGTTTCATTTTACAGAGAGCTGAACTGCAAAGGAATATATGGCAAAGCTCAAACTATGAGTTTTGTTTTATGAGTAGATATAATTTTGACCTAGCCTTCTGTAATCATAAGCCAGAAGTATTCAGTCTGTTCTTAGGTACGTGTGCTGTTTTTAAATTTCAGACTGACTTCTGAGCCTGATCTCGTATATGAGAGATTCACTGATAATCAGTTGATCAGTGCTTTACTGTATGTCATTGGCTAATGGGTTAGCACTACAGGACATGGAGCATATTAGTTGATGGGCTGCTGTTGAGGTGAGGCCTGTTTATCATCAGTTTCTGAACTCTTGGGGCCAAACTGTGGATTCAGCTTGTGGATGCTTGTGAAACACTGAGCTGCTTCTCAGTTTGGTCACCTCTTTATATGGAGGTATTTTCAAGTTTGCGTTTAAAGGCAAGCTTTTTTTTTTTTTTTTATGTCTGTTTGAAGTGTCGAACATTCACGAAGCCTCATGTGAAGTAGAGTAGGAGCAACCTGTTACAGCTTTATTGTGGTGGGAAGCTTTTGCAACAGATGGAGCAACGCTTCCATGCAAACATCTCACCTGCTGATCAGCTGGTTTGTGACATAGTGCTGATAGACACCTGCAAGAGACTTCTGCCCCGAGGGAGTCAGTTCACAGGCCAGGAGGAAGCCGTGGGAGGACAGAGGCCTCAGAGAAGTGAATGTTTTAAATATTTCTGTGTTTCACAGAATCTTCAGAACCTTTTAGTTTTGACTCTGAATTCTTGAGGAAACGAGGCCTATTCAATTGCAATGTGCTGCAATAAGCTCCGCTGAAGCTCTGCCCAGTTTCATCCACATCTTGAAAAAGGGCTAGAATTCTCAAAGATAAATACATTTGAAGAAACTGAATTAAGTTCAGGTTCAGCTGCAATGAAAAGTGCCCTGACTGAAGAAGGACAGTGATGTGATAGTATACACTGCAGAAATTGCTGAGGCCTTTGTGAATGGCTGAGAGCTGACAGAAAACCCCTTTCAAAGAAAAGCTTTAGTTAAAACTTGCAGTCAACTACAGGACGCAAATAAGTAGAAAACCAGGCTTCATTAGCTTCAGGCCTCATAGTGCTGCTTATTATTTTCTGCCCAGATTTTACTCTGTTAAGAGAAGAAAAATCGTACTTATTTATGTTGGTGCAAACTAGTGGAGGCTTTACATTTAGAGGTGAAAACAAGTGTTTGCATTCAGATATAACACTGGATATGTACTGCAATATTTTTCCCTCTAGCCAATGTAAAAGGGTCACAGACCAATTTTGATTATGTTGTTATGTGGCTCTCAGAACTCATGTTATACTTGAGGGTTTTTTTTAAGTGCCTTGTGAGCAGAAAAATGATCGTAGGAAGGTTGCACTGTGAGGACTGCAACATAGCATGAAGGTACTGCTGTTGTTAGATTAATGCAAATCGCACAAACCACAATAACTTATATCTGGGCAATCCTCAGCCTGTAGTAAAGGTAAGGTAATATGATTTACCTTAGTCTGCAGTGATGTTATGGGTTAAGGTAAGTTGTATTACCTCACATTGGCCATGAGATAAAACATGTACATCTTTGCAGTAGCTCAGCTGACCCAAGGTAACCTGTTGTACTGCAGGAACAGGTTTGTAGGGCTGAGCCATAAGGTTCCACCTCAGCACTTTTGTTGGCTCGTTCTTCAATTTATACTTAGGTCACACCTATCGTTGCCTCCACCCTTCAGTACAGAAATGTCAGCACTACTCATTGTATCCAAAAGTGCTTCCTTTCTTGCATATGCATCATCACCCGTGATAAAAGCTGTAAATCTACTTTTCTCTTTCAAATCTTTTTTAATCTTTTTTATTTTAATCTTTTTTAATCTTAATCTTTTAAATCTTTTTTTTCTCTTTTAAATCTACTCTTCTACTTTTGATGAGATGGGGACATGCCAAAATTCAACTTTTTCTCATTGCATTGTAGAAGAGCTAGAGTAATTAATGGGGAAAAGCAAGTTCAGCTTTTCTCAGGAAATTGTCAGATCTGATTGAAATGAGCATTACAGGCTGTTGCTTCTTTGTTTTTTAATTAGCATAGCTTTTCTGACTGGGATCAAGCTCTGGCAGTACTTTAAAGTCTGGAATTTTGACTGATACTTTTTTTTTTAATAATTGGTTTATATTTTAGGTGTTATCCCTCTTGACATAAATAGCGCATTCTCATAATGTTACTTTTTGTGCTGTATGTCTAATAGTTGTTTGTTTATTTGCAGTGATGGATTTAATGTGAGGATCCCTTTGCCAAGCGCCTTGTTTGACTTGCTGCCACGAGAGATTCAGAGTGGCATGTTACTGAGGGTTCAGCCTGTTCTTTTCAATGTGGGAATCAATGAGCAGCAAACCCTAGCAGAGAAGTATGTATTCAGTCATGCACGCTCAACCTTAATGGCAGTTCAACAATCTCCTGTTCTGATGGAAGTATGTCTCTCTGAAATTGCACTGTTGCATTACTAAAAGTGATTCATTTTCTCTTCTAATACAAGAACAAGGGACCATCAAATGAAGCTGGCAAGTTCAAAACAAAAAAAAAAAAGAGGTACTTTTTCACACAGCGTATAGCTATGGAGCTCTTTACTGCTTTGTGTGTAGTAAAGGTTTATGTGGTTCAAAAGTGGCTTTATGGAAGAGGAAATCTATCATGGTCTACTTAACACAGAGGTGCTGCTTTTGACTGAGGAACTCAGAGTGACAGATCACCAGAGGCTGCTGAGGGAGCGTTCTAAGGATCACTGTGTATTTGCTGTCTTGGTTTTGTACTCTTCCTTAGATTCCCTCTTTGGCCACTGTCAAAATCCAGGATACTGGGCTAGATGGACCTTTGTTCAGGACCTTTGTTTTACCTGTTGTTGCAGTACTGATGTAATGCAACTGGGCTCTTTGGAGCTGAAAAATGTAATTATATGATCGTATTTGTTAGGGAAGTTGTTCAGTTCTGGGAGAGCTACCAGAGCTTTCCTCTGTTATGGCCTTATCTTATAGGAATACATTGGCACACTGCAGCTCTCATGGAGAACTCCAGTGAGGTCAGGCACACAGATGTTGTGGCACCAGCCTTGCTACCCAGCTGGAGCATGCGATCTGATGGTAGACATCTAAAATAAGTCAAACAAAGGCATTCCAGGAGTTCCTGTTTTCCTCTATTGCCTATAAGAGACAAACGTTGTTAGATGAGATGAATCCCAGCATTGCTGATGATATTTGTTCCATTCACACTTCATCCCTCCTCAGATCGATATTTGTCATTCACAAGTCTGAAATTGAAGTTCTTGATCCTGCCTACTGGTGTCATGGTTATTATTAGCTCTCAAATTGAGCCAGCAATTCCATTATGAAAAGTTTAAATTTTTGCAAAAAGATCTACCAAATAGATGGGTATTTAATATTGATAGAAATATATAGAAACAAAAGTAATTTAAATACTAATTTCTGTAAGATTTTCCTTTCTGCCTTTCTTTCCCCTGCTCCTGCACTCATGTATTTTCTTTTTCTGGAACGAGTCACTACAACTCTTGTCTGTTACACTTTCTTCTGCATTTGAGTGTTTAGGAATTTCATGGGATGAATCTTTAAACTGTGTTCTGGTAGTCATATTGCCAAGTGGAGTTGTTTCTAAGAAAACAGGAAAGATTACCTTGCAGTTAACTGTTCCCTTCTTCACCTTTTAAAGGTTTGGAGACACCTCATTGCAAGAAGTAATTAACATGGAAAGCTTAGTCCGGTTAAATTCATATTTTGAGCAGTTCAAGGAAGTTTTGCCTGATGATTGTAAGTATTCAGTAACTAATGGCAAATTTGATTGAAGAGCAATGCAGGCTGAATTTTTTATTTGTTTGCTTCAAATGAATTGCTTAAATGTTAATGATATGCCAGTGTAGTAACCTCTAAGAAATGATGCAGCTCTATTTTAACACGTTAGCACTAAGTAGAGCAGATTCAAGTGTTTTGAGGCTCATTCTGGTTAACTTTCTTTTTTTATTTTACTTTTATGTCTTTTTCTAAAAGGCACTATGTGCTGTATAAACAGGCAGCTAGACTATCAGATTACTGTGAGGGAAGGTATAAAAGTGACTGGTCATAACAACAGCACTTTCACCTCCGGTTTTTGGTGATGTTCTCTGTGCTAGTGGTGGCCTGTACAGAGAGCAAATGCCATTTTGTAGGAACTTCTTATTCCCCCTGCTTTTCTTTTGAAGCTTCTTTCAAATTGTAGCATGTGAAGCCTGCAACAGAGAAGACTAGTATCTGGAAGAGATATAAAAGCTACAAGTTTGAATTTTACTGGTTTTATGGGAAATTTTTTGCTCATTGTTATTTTCTCTGGAAGCAGCGTTATAAATGCATTATTTACATGTGACCACACAAAATGCCTAGAATTCATTAATTCGTTATTATTAGTATCAGCCTCCTCTTGTAAGCTAAATTCACAGGTCCCAAAACTGCAGTTTTATTGCAGAAATACAAATGCAGCAACACGCAATGGGTCTATGCTATCAAGCAGAATGCTCTCTGTGGCTCTTTTTGAAAGGTGTGCTGTTACACTTCCAGTTACCCTGGACTCTTTTGATGCAACTGAGAGCAGAACCTGCCTCCCTCCTATGAGGCCTTTACATTCCACTATTGCTTGTCTGAAATTTTAGCTGCAAAAATTCAACTGGTTTTTATTACATCAGACTTTCTTGTAAACCTTAAAAGTTAATCAGTTTACAGTGATTTTTTCTGTTCTACTGTTCTCACCATTTCTTCATTGTCTCTCTGTCCATGTAGTCTTATATAATATTTCCCATTTAGTTCTTTTTTATTTTCCCATCTTTGGCTTTGCTTCTTTTGTTTACTTCAATCTCTTCCCTCAACTCTGGACCTCTCATTTTCGTCCATTCTTCTGTTAGCTTTTGCCTTTTTCCTTAAACTTTTTTTTTTATCTTGCAGTCTGTTTTCTCTCCTATCATTTATTTTTATTGTCTTCATAGCTTTTTTGACCTCTCTTTTAACTTCATAGTTGTCCTCCTCTGTTTTTAAAGAGCATTGCTGCCACTGCTTTGAGCTTCTCCTTTACCAGAATCACTTACTCCTTATACTGGAGGCTTTTCTTCAAGTAACTTGAAGTTCTGAGTAAGGTGAACGTGCAGAGTTGGACAGGTGATGTTAGCATGCCCTCAGATGGTAAAATAAAACAAAACAGTCTTGTATCCACCTTTCCCTTTCTCCCTTGTTTCCACTCACCTTTCATTACCTTGAACGCCCTGCCACCTGAGTTGAACACCACAAACAGGTCTCTTTTTACCACAAATCTGTCCTCTGCCAAGACTTCCTTCTGCTTCACTGTTTGTCCTGGGTAAACGCAGACATCTTCTAGCTGGTTTTCCAATACAGCTTGGACACATGGTTCATGGTTATAAACATTAACCAAAAATTTTTGATTAGCGGTATGGAAAAAATAATATTGCAGGTGTCCCAGGAGACATGTTTGAGGTGTTCTGTGAAAAGCTACGTCTGTCTGGGCAAATCTGGGAGTGTGCTTGCCATAAGGAAGGTCTGAGGGTACGTTTTGTACCTCTTCTGTGGTGGTTTTTAAGGAGTACAAAGTGAAACATGTTTCTCCATGAACCCTTGTCAAGACAGAATAACTTTTTCTTTAACTGTAAAGCAGGTGGTTAGTATGACCGTCCAGAGGTGTAGCCCATGGTAAGTACTGACAAAAGGAGGTTATGTACTTTTATTTTGGGAAATACTTCACCTGAAAAAACAAGTGGGTCACTCTAAGCGACAAGAGGCCAGTGAGGAATGGGCTGGCAGTTTGTAGAAAATGTTCCCTCCGTGCAAAAGACACAAGGAAAGTTGATCTCTGACCTACTGTCCTTTCTCTGAAAAAGTTGTGCTCTTAATTCTCAGCACTGCAGAAATTTCAAAGTGAGTTACTACCTTAACTGAGGAGAAAATATAATGTTCCATTATATCTGCTTGTCTTTAGAGATATTTGAGGTAATGGTCTGTTGCCTTCTTTCTGTTGCAGGTATTAGTTTTTTTCTAGGTATAGAGTTCAAGTAGAGACAACTAGGATAGGCACAATTTTGCCTGCATATTATTTTCTTGAGAAGAGATGTGGTCCAAAATAAAACCCTGTAAATTATGCATTTTTTGGTCACACAGTCATTTTTTAACAGTGCATATTACCTTACTTATCCACTCACAGCTTTAGGTGATGTTCTTGGTAGTTACCCCCTTAAAAAAAAAACAGAAAAACAAGAAGACCTATTCAATACTCATTATGAGTACCTTGGTGCATGTGTAAGAGATGCCATATTACACTTTGAACACATGAGTACAAGATGACTACTGAGGGCTTTAAAAAAAAGCTTTTAAAATGCCTTCAAATCATTTATTTCCACTGGGTGAAATATTAATAAAAAGATACAGGCAGTGCAGAGTCCTATCGGAGAGAGTGCTTCCTGTAACCGAAAACTGGCTAGCTTTCAAATTCAAAGTTGAAAATGTGAGCAGATTATAAAATGATATCTTCAGAGTTTCTGTAGAGACGTATATGATGTCCTATCACCTGTGAAGGAGAATAATATAGGCAGTTACATGTTTGTTTACAGTTCCAAAGTGTGTGAGCACAAGTGTGTCGGTGACACACAAACTAAGATGTTGAACCAATCTTGCTCCCTTTACCTCTGTTAGTATAGTGCTATCAGATTCTGAGCCCCTGAAGGTTTAAATACCCTAAATGTTAATTTTCCGTTGAGTTTGATTAAACTTGGTTTGTTGGTGTACTAAGTAATTCAGAATTGAATTAGCCTCAATTTGCTAATGCTTTGATAGTTTCAAGAAAACATGATTGTTTCCAACTAGCAGATAGGAGCACTTTTCTTGTAGCTTATTTTTACGAAAATATTGAATACAAATAAATAATTGGACTTGGTTTTGTTTGTTTTTATAGGTCTACCTCGATCTCGTAGTCAGACATGTCTGCCTGAACTGTTAAGATTTCTGGGACAAAATGTACATGCAAGGAAAAATAAGAATGTTGATATCCTTTGGCAAGCTGCTGAGGTATTTATTAATCTGAGCACCTCTGCACAGCTCAGTTAGTCTACTATATGTATAAAAACACTGCATTTTCCCCTTTCTTATTACTCATATTTTCAGATTTCTTCATCTCTTGCATACAGCTTGGAAATACTGCTAGGTTAAACCTCCTCCAGACTAAGACATGCAAAAAGAGTATTACCTCCTAAATACTGTAAATGCTTTTAGTTTGATCTTATTGGCTGGAAAGACAAAATTAAAGAAAATTCATTTTTCAAATCAGTGTTTTCCTCACAACCCCTGCAATGAAGTACTGCTATCCCAAAGATGACAACTTTTGACATCAGAGTCCTACACAACATTTGTATCTCTCCAGGGAAGGGAAATACAGGTGTGTTCTCTGCCAGGAGGTTATGCGTGAGAAAGGGATGATGAATTGTATATCCCATTTCCAGATATGCCGCAGACTAAACGGTGTTCGCTTTACAAGCTGTAAAAGTGCCAAGGATAGAACAGCCATGTCGGTCACCCTAGAGCAATGTTTGATCCTACAGCACGAACATGGAATGGCTCCCCAGGTCTTCACCCAGGCTCTGGAGTGTATGAGGAGGTAAGAGTTTGACTGCAGTCACTTATTCCTAAATCAAGAACCATGCAAACTGCAGATGAGTGGTGGTCTCTGTTTCTATTTAAAAAAAAAGAAAAAAAAAAGTAACATAAAGCCAGAAAACTGCAAAACTGACTGCTAGACTTCATCCCTCATAATATAAAACTTAACTACTGCATGCAAGTAAAGCTGATTGTTGCCAAATTTGCATGAGATGGGCTTTGATTTTCAAGAGTGAAGCGGAAGTTTTCAGAGAAGCATGTAAAAAAAACATTTTCAATTGGACTGTTAGTGCTGAGCTTACAGAACAGGAAACTGGTGGTCCTTTGAAGCTTGTCTAATGATGAAGTTACCTTGACTGTCAGAGCACTGGCTTTTTTAGTTTTAGGTCAGGCAGATTTCTGCACCTGCAGTTTGCACTGGTTTGCCACGTGTATTCTTTAGCAGTGAAACACTTTGCTCACTGGGCAAATTGTCAGTATGAGCGTTTCACGATATAGCCACCAAATCCCATCACAATGTGTCAGTGTGCTGTTGTTGTATAATGCAATGATGTTCTGTATTCTGAAGCAGCAGACCTGTTTGCAGAATTAAATACTGCACTAAAAAATCTGTTTACTGTTGTTCAATGCCTTGTTTCAAGCACTGCTGGAAAACTCCGTAACTCACATACCAAAAGAAAGGATAAGAAATCTAGCTTTAGTCTTTATCAATGTAGTTCAACAATGCTGTTCAGTCCTGTTTTTCAATATTCACTCTTACTGAATGTACTGTACTGTGTGTCTTCTCACTAAATTCTCTAGAGTGTTCAATTCTCTTATCCTTTCTGTATGTTTTTGCTGTTTTGGCCCTTTCTTACTCTTCAGTTACCTAGAAGGAAAACGTCTCATACGATAGCACTTGCAGTTTTTTACGCTAATAATTTGTTTTCCACTTCTACATCTAATTGGATGTCATTAGACTTCTTTATTTTCACCTTTTGGCTGCACTTTCTGCTGCATTGTTACACAGTAAGTAAGGTATATGAAAACTCTGCATTCAGAGAGCAGTTAAAGGTTGATAATAGAAATGAAAATAGCTTGAAAAAGCGTTAAGGGAGAAGATATTAAAAATGAAGCTAAGGGGCTCTCAGATATCTCATTATTTAAATTGTGTCAGTTACTTGTCCACTTAGACGTCTGAAAGAAAAAAGCTCCCTTGCACAATTTTAATAAGTGGTTTCTTTAATAAGAATAGAAACTGAACAACTATAATAACAAATCTCACTATTTATTTAAATTGGTTACTGATTTTTTTAATTCCACCGTGGTCACAATAAAGACAGAGGTTAATAATGACAGTGTTTTGGACCTTCTGACCATCAATTTAATACAACATAATGTCAGATCACATGTTTACACAAGAAACACATAACTTTATGTTGACCTACATCAGGATATTGAAAGAGGACTATTTTTAATAAACATCTATCTCTAGCTAGTGTGTTCCAGCAACATCAGGGACTTGGTGTAACAGGTAAAGACATGACTTCCTCTTCTTCTGTCGTATCTTTGACAGAGAGATCATGCAGAACAGATACTGGCTAGTCCTGAGGGAATACTACGCAGGTTTTATTCAAGCTCACCAGTTTATTTCTTCCTCAGATCTCATTGCTCTTTGGAATAGGTTAGTTTTTCTTAAATATTCTCCAGTTCTGTTCATGAAAATGGCATAGGATTACCAAAACTTAAAAAGAGAGGTAGGATTACTGGAAAATATGTAGGAGCCCAACCCCAACCAAAGTCGTTTCGACACTGACAGAATGACCTGACCTAAATGGCAGACATAGGAAAGGAGGGAGTTGCAAATTACTTTTTGGTCATTAGAAAAACTGGGATTGTTCATTTGTTTATTTTTGCTTCGATCTTTGATTTGTGATTGAGCCGAGGAAGGCTTGGCTCAATCTTGAAGCCTTGTGAAGCCTCTTGGGCAGTTGGAAGGGCAAGGAAGTATTCAAAGTGTTTCATCACTCCTCTACTTTCCAGTGAAGGAAAACATTTTTGTTTACAGTGTTCCTGAAGAATTAAGGAAGCACCCTCTTCTTCCATGTAATCTTCATCTTCAGAGGGATTAGTTCCCGCTTCCTCCGCCTCGGGGACATCCTTTCCCTCCTAGTCTTGTGATAATTGTACCTCTCCTGAGCAAGCATGGACATTAGGGAGAGAACACGGAGTGCCACTTGTAGGTTCTTGTAGAAATTCACAGATACAAGTTTACAGCTTTTATCTTAGAAACAAGTGTTCTATTAGAATGAACTCACTTTTCTGTAATCCAGTCACAGCTTCTCCAGTCCCCAGTCAAATATATGGTAACTCACAGCCTACAAATAGTAAAAACATGACAGTATGTCTGGAAGTTCAAGCTATACGAGAAATGACTACCTGGCTAATAAAACCAGGCATTGCAATAGTCAAAGTCCCACTGGCTCGCACATCCTTTTCCATCTGCAGCAGTGCCAACACTCCCCACTAGAACCAGCACTCCCTGCCATCCCTTCTCCTGCCATGTTACTGTCTGGGGAGATTTGCTAGTGAAACTGTTTGTGTGAATGTATCCTAATTGACTTCCAGTCAAAATCAGCATGAGCAGCAAAATCGTTTTCTTTACTTGTTTGAAGTAGCCCAGCTCATTTTCATGAAACCAGTTAGGAAGTGGTCGCACAAGCAATTTAGCCAACCAGGGAGGGAAGCTGTCTCTGACTGGGCTCTTGAAAAGCACCTGTGAATGGCCTGAAGGCAGTAATTTCTTTCAGGTGCTATGGTGCTGATGAAAAAAGTTAAATTATAAAGCCCTGGTAGTCATGTTTTGATACGGCCGCTCACTGAAATAAAGCAGCCGTGATGGAAAGCTTGCGTGGATTTCTTCACTAGTTCTGACGTGCCTCAAGAATAACTTTTAGGGAAGTGGATCAGGATTTGTTTTCTGGTTTTAATCAAATACACTTTTTAGTTGGGCCAAGATGGAGTACACTTATTGAACCTTTGGGAATAAAACAAAGCACTGCTGCCTTTTTGTTCTTTGAAGTAAATTGATAGTTCATCTGATACATAAAGTTTTCCTGCTGTTCCGTGAACTTGGAGGACCTGATTGTCCCTTCTTGTACTCCCATGTGCATTGCCAATGAGAAAATATGAATGGTGACTACCTCTGTACTTTACTGCTGTGTGCAAGATAGAGGAGCAAGCAGTGTTAGAGTCAGTGACTGCATATTCAGTTGTTAGATTGTTAATTTGCCCTTAGATTTTACTATCATCTTCTTTAATATGCCTTTCTGTGTTTAAGTAGCAAAATGCACAGCGCTGACACTACAGCGTTAATTTTGTGAGCAAGTCAGGTTTTACTACTAGGTCCTTTTGACTTTTTGCTGTACAACACCTAAAAATTCTCTCAAATTACATGCATGGTTAAATGTGCAATGCAGCATATAGGATATTTTTACATGCTCAGAGATTCCTCACTTGTTTTCCTGTGTCTGTATCTGTTCCTAGTCTGTATTTTGTAGTTGTTTGAACTTCAGGCAAAAGCCATGCGCCTTTTTACATAATTTTTTCATTAGTAGGGCGGGAAGAATAGTATTTAAAATGTTCAGCAAACAAGAGCTGCTTGGCAATCTGATATATTTATTTTAAAAGTGTAAAATGTTTTTTCTGCTGATAGGTTGAAAATTCTTTTCAGTTAAACAGTTACTTGCAGGACTGGGAGCTTGATGACAGCATTATTGCTGCACTGTTCAACTGCACAGTTCTTCCAGCTATGTTCTTTCTAAATATAAGGCAGTGCAGTGTATAACTTAAGACCTTTGGAAGACATGGGGTTTCTTTAACTTTTGTCCAGGGATCAAATTCCAGCATTATATCACATGAAAAAAAGCTGGATTAGCAAGGAGTTTGATTTGTCTCTTTGCCGTGGTTCTTCTCTAGAGATAGTCTGCCTGAGAAAGTGCATATGCTTTGGTATATTTGGTATTTCCAAATTTCCTTTTTTTTTCTTCCTGTATGGAAGCATCTGCGTGGGCCAGCAGTGACAGGGGAAACTCTTTTCAGCTCTTGTGAATGTCTCCATCCACACTGTGTGTATGTCTTCGTGTACAACTGAATATTTTGATACTAATTTTTAGTGGCAGAGATGTGACATGTGTTGTCTCCTCTGTTTTTCTTAGCCTGCATTTTTCTATTCTCTCCGTAATGTCTTCCTGTCATCTTCAGCCTTTCTTCCTTGTTTTCCTCCCATGTTTTACTGCCTTATCTAGATCCTAAAACACTTTTCTTCCTCTAAACTATTCCACTGTGCCTTTCTCCACCGCTTCCTAGTCAACACTAGCTTTCCGCTTATTGCTTCTCCTGTTCACACTCCAGTTCATTTAATATTCCTTTACCATCTCCTTCAGTGCTCTCTCTATACTGTGAATACCTTTCGGAGCATGTTTATGCCCAGCCACAAATATACTTGCTTTTTCTTATGCATACTGCCAGATATGTTCCTGTATATGCTGACATTATTCACCAATAGGCCAAGCAGGAAGGAGAGTACTTCCTTTCCAAATACATGGGAGACTGTATCTGTGCTGACTTAAAAGCCCAGTCCTCAGTTCAGCCTTGAGTTCAGACGCTCCTTATATCCAGATTAGGTGGACATTAGGTGGTGGGTGAGGGAGAACAGTCAAGCCCATACTTCCATTCAGTACAGTCTCTGGTACACCCCCAGGTGAGAAAGGGGTGAGCCAAATCCAGATATTGCTGTGTATCCTTCCCGCTATGCTACATGATAGTGATCAAAAATGCGGCGGTTTAGTCCCTTGCACACCTTATTCCATTTGATTTGAAGTGTTGCCAGCATCCAGAGTCTATTTTTCTGTTTCACCACCTTCAGGACATCTCTGAGGACTTCCAGGACATCATCTGCTCCTTACCTAACGTTTGCTAGGCAGCCAGTGATGTTACCAGGTACCTTTTATGAATGGAGTG